TTATATATTTGTATTATTAACTACATAATTGTTACAAATACCACGACAAACAAACAACAAACACAGATTGAATTTTAATATATAGATAAATTAAATAAACCATCTGTTTAACATTAAATGCAAACTCAAAGCAAAGTTAATATTTATCCACAAATCTAGGGAATTAAAACGCGTTGTTTTAAGATTGACTGGGGATAAAAAGTAAACATTACACAAACACATTATATATAAATAAATATATGTATATGTACGTGTATATAAATGCAAACATATCAATTATTTAGAAACGTAACACAAAACAACAAATAGGCCTCGGAAGGCAGGCGGTTGGGCTGACGACGTGACGGCGATTATTTGAACGCCTTCTATGTGAGGGACGCAATAGTTCATACTTTTGGACCAAACGAACTCGTATTAGAGTTTTGGAAAAACGACCCGATCGAATGGTCCACAGTGAAACGTACAGTCTATTTCATAAGTTTACTCCACAATGCACAATTGTAATTCTGGTTTTGCCTGTACTTTTGGACCAAACGATTTTGGACCAAACGAACTGTTTTACAACTTGTGGCCCAAACGAGTTTGGACCAAACGAACTGTTTTACAACTTGTGGACCAAACGATTTTGGACCAAACGAACTGTTTTACAACTTGTGGACCAAACGATTTTGGACCAAATGAAATACTCCCCAACTGGATGATAAAACGATTTTGGACCAAAAGGAACTGTTTTACAAGTGTTGGACCAAACGATTTTGGACCAAACGAACTGTTTTACAACTTGTGGACCAAACGATTTTGGACCAAATGAAATACTCCCGATTTTCAGTTAAATATATTTTAATAACATTAGGTTTAACGAGTACCTAGGTTTGCTGCTACAAGGAAACTAATAAAGTGTGTTTTTGAGTAAAATATTGATAGCTTAGTAAAAAATAAATTTGCCAAGTTTGATCAAAATATATCCATAAACAAGCAAACTACAACATTTGACAATACTCTTCATAAGAATAACATGGGAATTTTAAATTTACAATTTTTTAAATTTTCTTGGTTACTAATAATCAAACAAAAATACTTTTATATACTAAATTATTTTTTTTTTTAAGCTCTTTAAAAAGGTCTAAAGAGAAATTGGGAAATTTTGTGTTTTGAGGGTCAAAAGTGAGAAAAACCAATTTTTACCCCATAAAACCCCCCGTAAAGCCCCGTTCCCATGGTCCAATCATGCTGGTTCGCGAACTCATTCAAGTTTATCCCGCTTTACACCTTTAAACCAAATTTCATCAAAATCGGACAAAAATTACTCAAGTTATCGCGTTCACGGACGTATATATATACGTATATATATATATATATATATACATATATAAAAATTTGAACGAATGGTGTTTTTGGCCTCTGGGGACATCAAAATGAAAAAGTAAATCGGTCCCGGGTCTAGGTCTTACCGTGCCACCTACGGTAATAGCTACTTCCCTATAGGGAAATTCGCTAAAAAATGATACAAACACGCGGACAGCAATAACGCCCCACGAACGCCTAACAGCATCTCTTCTATTAGCAATGGGAAGAGGTCACTGGAGGACTTAAAATTTTCAACTATAATTTCCCCATAAGGACTGGATAAAATTATAGAAGAGAACTGAGCGACGGTACACACGCTCACTTCAAACTGACATCAGTTCAGTTTGTCAAGCCGAAATTATGAATTTAAATCAGTCCATCAGTTTACTTCTTTGATATGAGCTAACATCAATTTTACACACTGTCAGTTTGGTGTGTCAGTTCGATGTGAACACACCAAGCTGTGTGTAGGTTCCTTGTATAATTGTATATCACTGTATTTGTATTTAATGTCTTTACTCTTCAGTTACTGTACATCTATATAAATAAAAGGCAAAGCCCTCACTGACTGACTGACTGACTCACTCACTCACTCACTCACTCATCACTAATTCTCCCACTTCCCATTTACCTAGGAGGCTGAAATTTGGTACACTGATTCTTTAGGCATTAAATAGGAAAACTAAGTAGTTTCCCGTACAGGGAATTAGCGAATTTTCCATATAGGGAATAAGCTATTACCGTAGGTCTCATGGTAAGACCTGGACCTAGGACCGATTTAGTTTTTTGTTTTGAGGTCCCCAGAGGCCAAAAACACCATCCGTTCAAATTCATATATATATATATATGTCCGTTAGCGTGATATCCTACTAATATTATAAATGAGAAAGTTTGGATGTATGTATGGATGTATGTTTGTGACAAGTCAACGCGAAAAATACTGGTCAGATTGTGCTGAAATTTGGCATGATGATAGCTCACATTCCCGATTAACAAATAGGCATATTCTTATTTCAAAAATCCTTTCGGGCTCCGCCCCAGTCGCTCTGGAGTTTCCCATGTTAACCTTACTCATATTTAAATGGAGTTAATGAATCTTAACAGCTGTTTCAATTAAACAAGTTGGTTCAGTTCTATGATGTGCAATAGCATTAAAGTTACAATGATTACCAACAGGGTGCAGCATTATTATTTTTTTTTAAATTTATGACAACAGCTAATTTGCAACCAAAAGGTGAGTGAGCGTAGTGAACGAACTTCAACCTGGAGGCGAGTTAGCGTAGCGAACGAGCTAACCTGAAGGCAAGTGAGCGCAGCGAACGAGCTCTAACCTAAAAGTAAGTGAGCGTAGCGAACGAACTTCAACCAGGACGCGATTGATCCATGCGAACGAGCTCATCTTGAAAATTAAGAAGTTAAACGGGGCAAAGCTCGCGGGTACAGCTAGTAGAGCAATAAAGCATAGTACACTCAGCATTGCATTAAGCTGAGCATTGAATATAGTACTGTATACTTAATCTACCACAATTTTTGATCAGTCGGTGGATTGCAAAAATAAAATACTGTTTTGGAGATACCACACTGAATAATTTGTAATGACACATATAGTATATACAGTATCAATTAAATATTGCTAATTGGAATGTTTGGGGTGCAATGACTTGAAATAAAACACCATTTGGTGAATTAAATAAAACCCGGCCGACTACATGGTTACGGTTTGCTGGAATCTTGAGGACTGGTGAGCAAGGAAACTTTTGGATCGGCGGTTAAACGTGGAGGGAAAAGTGGCGTGATGGGTTGTAGCCAATCCGGGAGCTTTAGTCGCCTGATCGCAGTCAGGACACAAATGCAAAACATATTGCCAACGCTTTATAACACAAATCTAAATATCATAAAAATGGCAAAATTATGGTACATTATTGTATACACTACACTAATTTTAAAAGTCTTTGGATTACTGACTGAAATCATACATGTTTGTTTTTGGTTTGGTCATTAAAAAAGCAAATAAAAATGCCACATACTTGAAACGACGATCACTGATGTCACTGACACAAAGTAAGATGTTTACTGTGTGTAGGGCCTTAGAGACAGCACGATCACCTCACCATGTAAATATTTTTTAGCGAATTTCCCATATAGGGAATAAGCTATTACCGTAGTACTCATGGTAAGACCTAGACGCAGGACCGATTTTTTGTTTGTTTTGAGGTCCCCAGAGCCAAAAACACCATTCGTTCAAATTCACATGTATATATATATATATATATATATATATATATATATATATATTTATATATATATATATTTATATATATATATTTATATATATATAGTTATATATATATATATTTATTTATATATATATGTGTCCGTTAGTACAATAACTCGAGCAAAAATGATCCAATTTTGATGAAATTTGCTACAAACCAGTAAACCTACATTTATTTAAGTTCGGGAACCAGCATGATCGGACTATAGGAACGGGGGTTTACGGGGAGTTTTGGTAAAAATAGGTTTTTCCCATTTTTGACCCAAGAAACATAAAATTTAGCAATTTATTTCCAAACCATTTTGTAGAGCTTAAAAAAAAACAAATAATTTAGTATATTGAAGCGTTATTATGCGCCTAATGTTTACAGAGAAAATTCAAAAAAATTGTAAATTTAAAATTCCTATGTTATTCTCATGGAGAATAAGTCAACTGTTGTAGTTTGCTTGTTTATGAACATATTTTGATCAAATTTGGAAAATACATTCATTTGTTACTAACTATTAACATTTTACAAAAAAAAAACAGTTTTACACTCCCTGATGCAGCAAACCTAAGTACTTGTTAAACTAATTTTATTTAAATAGGTAGGGAATAAATGTTATATTTTTAAGTAGACATTTTAGTGTAAATTCAATCAGGCAAATGTAAATTCGCTTAGTCTGCAGGTTTGCTGCGGCGGGGGTATTTTCACAATACCATAGTTTAACAAACTCGTACAAAAAAACAGTATGTCAATTTCAATCTGTATGTAAAGGGTTTATAAAACTTGCAAGATGTACAATATTGACGGACGTTGGGGCTGTTGAGCAAAAACCCCCGAAAACCTTTTTTTCTTGGGAGGGGGGGGGGGGGGCCATGCTAAAAATCTCGCCCCGGGCGTCTATCACCCTCAGGGTGGCCATGAGCGTCCTGTTGTGTTGTCAAAATACTTAATATGGTGCAACAACATTATTGAACCGAAAAGAGTTACTTTGCCCTGTTCCTGACCGGCATAAATCAACTCAAATGAAATATTGTTCCCATGTTCCCACAAAAACAAAAATGTCGAAATAAAATGTATAAAATAGTTTAATTAATTCTCTTACAGTTACACCCAGTTAATTTGTTTCTAAAATACCGTATGTCCTAAAGCAACCTTTTTTTCTACCCATTTAAATTTTAATTAGATTCACTCTTTCCCTGAAGAATTTTCCAAGTAGTCTTACATTTTGTTGGAACTTTTGTAACTATTTTTCTGGATTAAAATTATTAATCCGTTTAAACTATAAGCTAGCTTTTTACTATCCAAAATTTGTTTACCATTTATGATGTAGATCCATGGTCTATATTTAAAAAGATAGTTTGATTACACAAGTAGTTTGTTGAATTTATTTACCTGTGCTGGTATATGGTAGTTGGATAAAACGTGATCATTTTGAAGTATTCTGGAAATTTCAGTCCCATTTGGATACATTCTGAAAAAATTAAATAGATTTTTTCTTATTCAATTTTAGTGAATTTTTGATAAAGCTCAGTATACACACAATTAATTATTATGTGCAATTTAGAAACCGATACTTTTTATCAATAGGCATAGTTTGAGTTTGATTGTGTAGCAAACTTATTAGGTACTGTTTATTGTGCTATACTTTGGGTTAAGCCACAGAGAGGTAGGCACATAATATGAAACATTAATGGTATACCTAAGTGGTGGTGTCTAGTACTACTGCTGGTGGCTAGGGCAAAGTCCTATACCGCCCCTTCGCCTTTATGTACTACAACTCTCACGGTGGAGGAAGACCCTGTGCCCTGTGCGATGCGAGTTTCTGCACCGTGCTCTCAAAGTCAAAGTCCTTTATTAATCCAGATTAACAATACATTGCATTGGCCAAGTCAAGAGATTACATTTATTATGAAATTAATTAACTACTAAATACATTATATACAAATTGTTTTCTTTTATGTTTAATAATAAGGTTAAAGACTACCAGGCAAATTCCCGGACGCTGTAGCAGACCTTATTTATCAACATGGACTTAACTAATTTCCTGAATTTTCCGATGTCCTGTTCGACTTTCAAAGGGAGAGGGAGGTCATTAAAAAGTTTTACTGCATTGAAGTGGAAATTTTTCTGAAAGAAAGTGGTTGAGTGTCATGGTACTGAAAGATTGAAATTGTTGCGGAGACGATAACTATGGATACTTGGAGAGCTATATGATGATTGGGTTTTCTTGATAATTGATAATGTTTCTAAAATGTAAATGGAAGGGAAAGTTAGAACTTTATGTGATCTGAAGACATCTTTGCAGGATTGACGACGGTGAAGAGAAAAAACAGTTCGGAGAGCCTTTTTTTGAAGCCTGAATATGAACTGAGTCCTTTGGCTTTCACACCCCCAGACAGGTACAGCATATGTCAGATAAGGATAAACAAGTCCATAGTAGGCTGTCAAGAGGACCTCAGACGAAACGGTGTGTTTAAGAGTGCGGAGCATGAAAATCCCTACAGATATCTTGTTTGAAACGTGATTGATATGCTTGTGAAATTTGAGGTTCTCGTCAAGAATTAAACCAAGGAACTTTACATCTAGGGAGGGGCAAATAGTGGTATCATCAAGAAGGTGTATGTCAGTGGATGTGTGATGCTGAGAAATGCTAAATTGAAGGAGTGTAGTTTTGTTGGCATTCAAGATTTCATTATCCTCACACCACTGAAGCAGGCAGTTGGATTCAAGAAATAAGGTCTGTTCTAAGGCCTGAATACTGGGATTTGAAATGATGATAGAAGTGTCATCGACAAAAAGGCATAGGTTTGCAAGATTCAAGCTGGATGGAACATCATTTATGAAGATGAGGAAGAGAATCGGACCCAAGACGGAACCCTGGAGCACACCTCTCCTGACTGGGACTTCTGAAGAGGAATGGTTCTGCAAGTAGCCACTTTTATTTACAGCTGGTATCATATCAAACTGTCGCCTGTCTTTCAGGTACGAAGAAAAGCAAGCATGAGCTACTCCTCTGATGCCCAGATCATTCGTTTTTTTCAATAGTATATCATGGTTCACGAGGTCAAATGCTTTGCTAAAATCTAAGAACATCCCTGCTACTTTCTGAGGTGAATCCATATCCCTCACCACTCTGTTTATGAGACCAAGCATGGCACTAGTTGTCGATCTGTTTTTTACAAATCCGTTCTGGTTTTCATATAGGATGTTTTGGGACTCTAGGAAACTCCATAATCTATTAACATTAACCACTGGTTTCTCAAATACTTTACTAAAGGTTGATATTAAATTCAAAGGCAGATTTTGCTTGACTAGCGTTCAATTTATTCATGTTGAAGCCTTCCGGAATTGGTAATCAATTATAACAGGTTACGTACCTTGACGTCCACAATTCTATAGTCAACGGATACCGACTAAGGAATTGTGGACGTCAAGGTACGTAACCTGTTATAATTGATTACCAATTCCGGAAGGCTTCAACATGAATAAATTGATATTAAACTAATAGGCCTGTAGTTATTGCAGCTGGCTTTGTCCCCTTTCTTGAAAACGGGTCTTACCATTGACAGTTTTAGATTGGAAGGGAATTTTCCCTCAACGAAGGAGCAGTTAATCATGTGACAGAGTGGTAATGAGATCAGACCTGAAATGGTTTTCAGTAGTTTCGGAGATATTTCATCAACTCCTGAGGATCTTTTATTCTTTAGCTCACTGATAATGCTTTTGATTTCTTCTTCAGTCACTGGTTTCAAGAAAAATTACGATATTATATTTCTATTGTTTGAATTGCAGGAGTTAGGAGGATTTCTCGCACCTTTGTTTTTATAGCTACCAACTTCAGCAAAAAAACTGTTACGCTCCTTTCACACTATACGTTTTCGCTCGTACGAGTGTTAATCGTGCGGGCAGACGGTCGTGGGTCTGTTGCTTTCACACTATACGATTTGTAATCGTACGAGTAAAAAATCAAAACCCCCCACTCCACCAGTACAGAGTTCATTGATACTTCAGTGGAAAGTTTTGTGGAGTATGGATCGGGAGCAAATTATTGCTGCGCTAATTATTTACAGACGCAGGAAAAGAAATAAACGCGGCCGTCTGCACTGGGTACATCCCATAAATATAAAACGTGAGGAAGTGGATGTGGGTGTTTAATACATTATTCGAAGATTTGAGGAACGATGAAGCCAAGTTGTTTAACTATTTTCGTATGTCGAAAGAATTGTTCGACGAATTGAAAAATCTGGATTCAATGCGAAGCACACTTCTTCCCAGGCTTTTCTTGTAGCAATTCTATCTTTGTAAACGTCCAATGTTTTGTCCCATAAAAAAACTTTTGATTCAACAGGTGAAATTAAAACTTCAGGGTCTATTGCATCCATTTGAATTATATTAAGACAACTGAAACTAATTACAGCAACTGAATAATACTATACAGTGCGCACAGGTAATTAAACTCAACAACCAAACAAAAACTGAAAAACGAAATAAAAACTATATAGCAAAAACGCTGCGAACTGCACTCGGGCTCCCGCACGACTAACAACCGTGTAGTGTGAAAAGGGCCATATGGTCACATGGTCCACTATCAGTAGACACGACTATTACTCGTACGGGAGTCGGATACCAACCGTGTGCACCTACGGTCGCTACGCGGGTGAAAATCGTACACGGTTTGTAATCGTATAATGTGAAAGGGGCCATAAGCTCCAATGCGATACAACAAATACGATTAATAACCGCACGAGCGAAAACGTATAGTGTGAAAGGAGCGTTAAATCTGTTGCACACTTCATTGGGATTAGTAATGGTTACACCACTGTTATCCTTAATATAAATACTATCCATTGCCTTCTTTTAGCGAATTTCCCTATAGGGAAGGAGCTATTACCGTAGGAGTCACGGTAAGACCTAGACCCGGGACCGATTTACTTTTTCATTTTGATGTCCCCAGAGGCCAAAAACACCATTCGTTCAAATTTTTATATATGTATATATATATATGTATATATATATATATACTTATATATATATATATATATATATATATATATATATATATATATATATATACGTCCGTGAACGCGATAACTTGAGTAATTTTTGTCCGATTTTGATGAAATTTGGTTTAAAGGTGTAAAGCGGGATAAACTTGAATGAATTCGCGAACCAGCACGATCGGACCATGGGAACGGGGCTTTACGGGGGGTTTTATGGGGTAAAAATTGGTTTTTCTCACTTTTGACCCTCAAAACACAAAATTTCCCAATTTCTCTTTAGACCTTTTTAAAGAGCTTAAAAAAACAAATAATTTAGTATATAAAAGTATTTTTGTTCGATTATTAGTAACAGAGAAAATTGAAAAAATTCTAAATTTAAAATTCCCATGTTATTGTTATGGAGAATATTGTCAAATGTTGTAGTTTGCTTGTTTATGGATATATTTCGATCAAACTTGGCAAATTTATTTATTTTGTACTAAGCTATCAACATTTTATTCAAAAACACACTTTATTAGTTTCCTTGTAGCAGCAAACCTAGGTACTCGTTAAACCTAATGTTATTAAAATATGTTTAACTGAAAATCAATTCGGACAAATGGAAATTCGCTTAGTCGGCAGGTTTGCTGCGGCGGGGGTATTTTCTTGGTCTGTTTTCATTTACTATTTTCCAAATACCTTTAGTTTTACCGTCTGATTCTTCAATCTCGTCAAATACCATTTTCGTCTTTAATTCTCTAATTAGTTTTCTAAATTCATTTTTTAAACTCAGATAGTATTGTCTTAGAACGTTATCAGAGTTGAGGTGCTTTGTCTTCTCATAGTAGACATTGCTCTTTTAGCTTTAAAAATTCAGCTAAAAATAAAATTTGTCTTTTGTTTTTTGAATCGAGCTTTATAATTATTTTTGGAAATGAAATGTCAAAATGATAACTTAATGTACTATTGAAAGCATTAAACTTACTATCAATATTCCCAGCTTCGTACAGATCTCCCCAGTTCTCTAGCTGAAGGCAGTGTTTAAAGGTCTCTATATTGGTGGAATTAACACTCCTTAAAGTGGAACTTAAAGTGTACATAAATTTCGCTCCTGAACGATCAGTAGGCAAGTTAGTGTTGATCAAAATTGATTGAGCATAGTGGTCGGACAGACAAGATTTTATGACATCGCTCCTGAGGTTTTCATTATCGTTTGAGAATATGAGGTCGATCAATGTACATGAGCCCAAAGCTTCCCGTGTATAGGAGTGGACCACATTTAGGAGACCAAACGATGACATAGTGGCAGTTAATTTCCTACTATCAAAACTGTCAGTAGATATGTCAGTGTTAAAATCCCCTAGCACATAAGTTCTAGAGTGAGAGGCTGAATACTTATCTAAGAGGTCATTTATACAATCCAAGAACGTGTGTCTATTTTGCCTGAGGGTGGCCTGTAACCTGCCACCATTAATAACCTCTCATTCTCATCTACATTGCTGTTAATTCACTTTCACCTTCGATACAGAACTCTGTGGCATCGAGTGGGTCGAATTTTATTTTGGGGCGACACCAAATCGAAACTCCACCACCATTCGTATTAGACCTACAGTACACATTAGCATAGAGAAACCCCTTTATTATAAGAAGAGCCCTCTCCACTCAGGCTCTTCCTTCACAAGTATATATCCGGCAAAGCATAATACAGCTGAATCACACGGTCGTCCCATAAGCGTTTTTCCTCTGTTGTACCTTCCTTCTCTGTGGTTGAGCCAAAGCCAAGGAAGATAAAATAAATATATATATATTTTAATTTCTATTGTAATTTAGACAAATTACAGATCTACAAGGGTATTCAAAAATATGGACCCAGTTTTGGGACTTTGTATCTTGGAAAAGTTAAATCCAAAACAAATAACTTTTACACCATTAAAAAGAGAAAATTTCAAAGTCTTATTAACTGGGACAGGTGGCGTCGTCCTGTAATCCAGCTACTAGGAGGTTACGAATTGTGGATATTTATATGCATGCTCTGTGGATGCGATACTCCCTGGTGTGGATTAACGTCTGCACGAGTGGGTACTACGACTATCCGCAGTACTATTCTGAAAATTATACTAATTCGTATATACCAAGGCAAAAATGTGGTTCGGATTCGACTATAAACTGTAGGTTCCATAGTTGCCATTAGCTGTATGAGCTATTAATAATTAACAGCTGTGTCTAAGGAATAAGTCGGCCTTAGTCACTAACAAGACTACAAGATCGCGCCACTCATCTCCATTCATACTTGGCTCTAAATACCTACTTTGTATAGTTGCCATTTCATTGAAAAGAATTAAAGTATAAAGTATAAAGTATACACTGATTACAAATGGTCAATATGTGTCTCCCTGTGCTGCACGGCAAACATCTAAGCGAAGGCCGAATTCGTCCCACACATGTGACAGCATCTTTTGTGTTACTCATTGCACATCTGCAGTGATACGGTTCCGCAATTCAGCCAATGTTGTGGGAAGAGGTAGGACGTAAACTGCTTCTTTGACAAAACCACAAAAGAAGAAGTCACAAGGGATGAGATCAGGAGATCTTGGTGGCCAGAAGTGCAAAGCCAGATCTTGATCTCCCTTGCGACCTATCCACCGCTAAAATTGACGGACCTCTAGATACCAATGGGGAGGAGCTCCATATCCTGTTGGAAAATGAATTACTCTGTATCTTCCATGAGTTGAGATAAAAGCCATTCTTCCAGCCTGTCCAGGTATGCTATCCACTTACAGTTCTTTCAACACAAAAATGGTCCTACACGTTTACCTTATCCGAGCCTCTATCGTGTTCCAATGTTGCACGTGTATTTTGCAGTCCTACGAGGGTTGTTTTTTAAGTAAGGGCCGGTTGCGTGTATAGTCCCGTAGTTCGCGCGGATGCCGCAACAATCCACCGCGCCACTTGCCGACATCCTTCCGGTTCACACTGATGCCAGTTGCAGCTTTGTAGCTGACGTGTACGCATTGCTGTGCTACTTTATAACGTTTACGATTATTGAATCGCCCGCCACGTGTGAGATACGGTCAGTGATACGTTTTTTGACCGCTAGAAGCCTATCAGCTGCAGAAATTCATCGTCAGTTAACAGAAGTTTATGGCTTGAATGCAATGAGTGAAGGTAAAGTTCGACAATGGGTTAGAGAGTTTAAAAATGGCCGTCAAAACGTCCATGACGAAGAACGCTCAGGCCGGCCCTCTGTGATCACTGATGATTTGGTGGCTGCAGTCGAAACAAAGGTTCGTGAGGACAGAAGATTCACAATTTCCACTCTTTCTTTGCAATTTCCACAAGTTTCAAGATCTGTTTTGTACAAAATTGTGTCTGAAAAGCTAAACTTTAAGAAATTGTGTTCTCGGTGGGTACCCAGACTCCTCACAGAGGACCACAAAGTGAAGAGATTTGCCACTTCATTGGACTTTTTGACTCGTTACGACGAAGAAGGGGATGACATGTTGAGTCAAATTGTCACTGGAGATGAAACGTGGGTATCTCATATCACTCCCGAAAGCATGCGACAATCAATGGAATGGCGACACACAACCTCACCCGTCAATGTCAAAGCCAAACAGACTCTGTCAAAGCGCAAGATTATGGCAACTGTGTTCTGGGACCGGCGCGGTGTTTGCTAGTGGACTTTATGCCACGAGGAACGACGATCAACTCAGATGCCTACTGTGCAACTCTAAAGAAGCTCCGCAGAGCAATTCAAAACAAACGGCGCGGCATGCTGACAAAAGGAGTTTTGCTTCTGCACGATAACGCTAGGCCTCACAACTCTCAAAAGACTCGGGATTTGATTGATTCTTTTGGCTGGGAAGTTTTGGACCATGCACCATACAGCCCCGACCTTGCTCCTAGCGATTTTCACCTTTTCCGGTACCTGAAACACCATCTTGGCGGGCAGCGCTTCAATGACGACAATGAAGTGAAAGCGGCCGTGAACTCTTGGCTGTCGGAGCAGGCGGCCAAATTCTTTGAAGAGGGAATTAAAAACTTAGTTGTGCGTTGTGACAAGTGCTTAAATAAACAAGGCAATTATATAGAAAAATAGGTAAAAGTGTGTAGAATCTGAAAATAAAAATTATTTTACAAAATTATTTGTATCTTTTTGTTAAAATAAAAACGGTCCTTACTTAAAAAACAACCCTCGTAAGATGCATACATTTTGCCTATTAACTTTCCCACTGAGATGGAACGACGTAGCTTTATTGCTGAAAACAAGGCGCCCTTGAAACGCATCTTCCTTCATAATTTCTAACATTCCATTACAAAATTTAACACGCTTGTCTTTGTCATTAGGAAAGAGAATCTGGACAAGTTGTATTCTGTAGTGTTTGTAGAGCAAACTTTGTCTCACAGATCGCTATACAGCCGATTGGCGATTAGGGTATTGCATGGTCTCTACTAGTTTAAGCAGTGGATTTTTTCGGACTGCGAACGAAACTGTCTTCTATTTGTCGGATAATGTCCTCTGACACACGTGGGCGATCTGTTGGTTTTCTTTTACTCACTTTTTACTCAACCTTTTAAGCCGTTAATATAAAACTATGGTAAAAAAAATTGAAATTTCCTCTTTTTAATTGTGTAAGGTTTATGTCTGCCCAATTATTCTTTTTGAGATACAAGTCATGACGTTGGGGCCATTATTTTTAAATAGCCTTGTATTTCAAAATGAATTATTAAGAATGAATGAATAAATACAAATCTTTATATTAAATGTCCTTAATAACTTAATTCATTTACCTGAAGGTTTCTTTGATTACAGCCTTTATATAGTTGAACTGGCTAAGATGGTCAGATGTTATTACTTCATCTTTTCCCATTACTTGTTGAATCTCTCTGTATGCTTTATCTTGAACAACAGGATTGGTTGCTAGACTGTACAGGTTGTGCAGAACAGTTGGTACAGTCTGTAACAAATGAAACATTTTACATCAAGTGAGCAAAGAGAAGTTAACCTTGTGAGTGACTTTCTTGAAGGTAGAGCTTAGTTTTAATCCCTTAATTCTTGCTCATAAATCTTAACATTTAACACAATTATTGTTACAATCATACAACAAAGATGAAACAATACCCCCGCCGCAGCAAACCTGACGACTAAGCGAATTTCCATTTGCCTGATTGGATTTACACTAAAATCTAGAGCAACAACAAGTGCCAGGGGTGCTAAGAAGGGGGGAGCATGGCATAGCGCAGTCTGCGCCATCAAGATTTTTGGGGAGCATGATTTTTTGGGCGGGATTTTGGTTTTTTTGTAAGGGATTTTATACCAGCAAAAATTGAGAGGAAATTTACAAAAATAAATTGTTAGAATCATACGCAACAGTAAAAAGTACTGTTTATTTATTTAACCATTTATAATCAGGATTACCAACGCTATATATTAAGTTTGCCGTTTAGACCAACGCCGGAATTTTCCTGTCAATCCGTAAATGTTTTGCTCTGGTTAAGATGGCTGGTAGGCATTTCTTTTAAAGTATGTATTTCGCATACTATTCGTCGGATTGGGATAAACTTTTTTGTTTGAAAGATGACTTTACATGCTACTGTATCTTTCTTTAGCTTACACACTTGTTTGTATGTTTAGTACATTTTTTTAATTTTGCAAAAACCCGTATTTTTAATATTTTTATGTTATTTTTGTTAATATTGTTTAATTGGTCAAATATACCAGAAACAACCTTTGAAAAAAGTTGTAGAACGTTTTAAGAGTTCTACAAAAATACCATATTTTATATGACTTACTTAAAAGATAAATTCAAGAAACGAGATAAAGCTCACAAAAACACCTAATTTGGCGCAAAAATGGCAATTAGTCCGACATCTAGGGCTGTATGTAAGTCATATATAGAAAGTTTGACCATTTAATGTCGATGTAGGTAAATAACTTCTTGATCAGCATTGTACGTGTTATTAAATTTACGGAAAGTAAATAAAACAAACGTCTTATAAGTATAACACTTCAAACATATTTATGCTTATACTGTTACTCACAAGACGGTTAATATACAAAAAAGATGGTAAGTGGTGATCGATTTTGATTGGACACTCCAATCATCATCAGACCCAATAGGCGAATGACAAGAATCTTGAATGGCGTCCCTACTTATATGGAGGATAGTCTAGGTATTTTAAAGAATTGTAAGAAAGGATATGTAATGAATGCTTGGAAAGAACTGTATATTTATAAGAGAAAATGTAAAAATAGAAATAAGTTGATTAATGAACAAGTAAATTTCGATTCCAGTTGTACTTATAAAAATGTATTGGCCGGAGCTTCCGGTAGCCAATAGGGTATAAGACTAAGGGTATAAGTAGGGACGCCATTCAAGATTCTTGTCATTCGCCTATTGGGTCTGATGTTGATTGGAGTGTCCAATAGAAATCGATCACCACTTACCATCTTTTTTGTATATTTACCATCTTGTGAGTAACAGTATAAGCGTAAATATATGTTTTAAGTGTTATAAGACGTTTCTTTTATTTACTTTCCGTCGATGTAGGTGTCTAAAGAAGTATTTTCAACTCGGTTGTTACGTCTGCACACCCACTGCATTTTCCGGTTATGACGTCATCAAAATGGCGGATAGGGCTATATATTTTTTTTTCTCCTAGTACGCTAGGCACGAGCACGGAATTGTTTTTCACATTACTTCAGGCTAGACCTATGGTTACGGCATTATAGGATATTATTATCCAAGAAGTTGTAACTTTTAAGAATCACCAATAAAAATTCACTACAAATTGCCGTTTGCTCTCTCTTCACGTAGTTGTCTCACCAAAATCGCGTTTGCAGAAGATAACTACGAAGTTTCTGTCATACATGAGAAATAATCACAAAGTTGCCGTGATCAAGGGAGATAGCCTAATCACGACTTTGCCGTGATCGCGGGATACGACCAAGAAGTCGCTATTTCTGTAGGATATGATCAGGACAATGGTTTACTGTGAAGTCCGTGCACGATTATTTGGGTGCTATCTAGAGAAGAGAAATTTCATAATTTGCTGTTGGATTTAGGAAAATGGCACACTGTAATCCAGTAGCTACAACAATTCTGCATCTGTGCAATTTCATATGTTCGTGATATTGTCTTTGGTTGTAGTCAAGTGTGTAGTTTACAAAACCACGCTATAGGTGTGCGATTTTACTGACTAGTAACTAATGTTATAATTGAAAGGGTGGAGTGTGGATGTCATGTTTGAGGGGGGGGGCATTAAGCTTGGTTTGGGGGGGGGGGAATGCGCCGGGTGTAGGACAACCTTCAATACAATAATCCTATTAGTGATGCTCGGCTGACCTGTCAGCTCTATCCGTGACTGCGTTGGGGTTGACGATGAATAAGCGTAGGACAGTGGAGGGGGTGAAACGCCGATGTAGGGGAAGTTGGTGCGTGGTGGAGGATAGAGTGAAAGTGATGAGAGAAGAAGAGAAAGAGGTTTAAAATTCAGTAAGGAACCAAGGAACTAACTAATCAACAACTCACCCAATCTTTGTGATCTAATGGTCTTCATAATACGTGTACAGGGGTGTCATTCATCCATTGGGTCTGATCAAGTCCGCACTCATGATAGGAGTGTGTCCAATCGAAATATAAACCCACTTACCACCTGTTATATGTACAGTTTTTACCGTCTTGCGTGTTGACATTAAAACAGTGTAAATATCTTAAATGTTTTATTGTTTCAATAGTGTTATTATACCTATTTGTATTTACGTTTTGTGTTTAACTTCCTAATACATATAAATGTGACACTGTTCTCGTTTTTTTACAATTATCAAATTCATAGTTTTACCCCATATGTAAGGAGGTTGTCTATGTTTTAATAGATGACCAGATGCATGGAAACGTCCACAAAGTTTTGCTCATGACATTAAATAGGATAATGTCAAGGTAATTTACTATGTCGGAAAAAAGTAATTACCGTATTACCATTTACATTTGTAGCTAAAAACATAAAATTTGCAATTAATTTCTAAACAATTTTGTAGAGCTTAGAAAACAAATACTTTATTGAACCGTTTTTATGCTCTTAATGGTTAAGGATGAAAATGAATAACTGTCATTTTTAATTTCTTATGGTGAACAAGTAGCCTAAATTACGACAATTTGCTTATTGAAATATGTTTTCAAAACAATCAGTTTGCCTGTTTATGAACTTATTTTGATCCAATTAGGAAAATTTATTTAATTCATAATAAAATATTAATATATTTCAATAAAAAAAACACTTAATTATCTTTGCTGTCGCAGCAAACCTAAGTAATCGTTAAACTAATTTTTATTATAATAGTGAATAAAAATATGACATCCTAAAGAAGATATTTTATTGAAAACCCAGCCAGACAAATGGAAATTTGCTTAGTTTGCATGTTTGTTCCGGTGGGGGTATTTAAATGACCTATTCTGTTAAGGAAAAATCCGTGCTCATAAAAATATATTCCATTGTAGCGTGTGTCTTCAATTGACACCGTTATATGTTAAGTTCAAATGTAAATGTAGAGGTATTAAATTAAATACATAAACTGTCTCGTAAATATATTGGTTCGTAATATTGTGTCGTTCAATATTGGAATTGTATTCTTGTTCATTACAGACGAAAAATATTCATGTATTTAAAAATTGATAGAAGATAAACTCTACGTGGAGGGTACAATATCCGCCCAAATATGTTTAGTTAAATAATGTAAAATCTTAAAATATATACAATTTATACAATGCACAAAAAAGCCAAAGAAAGGTAAAAAAATATAATTGGAGCATACATTTCTATTTACAATACATTTGAATCAACTCGTTAGTGGTTACAAACTGATATAAAAACGCAAATAGAACTATAATAACCAGAAATTTCTGCACAGATGAAAAGTTATTATTTATTTAAAACAATGATTGGAGATAACTTCTGAGGATACAATGTCCGCCCAAATATGTTATATTATGTTAAATAAAAAAATACTTAAAATTTATACAATTCGAATAGATAAATGCATGTATAAAAAGCCAAATAAACCTACAAATTAAAATTAGATCATACATTTCTATTTACAATACATTTTAATCAACTCGTTAGCAGTTACAAAACTGTACTAAAACACAAGTAAAAATAAAACCTTTGTAGTCAAAGTGACAAATGTTAAGGCTTTATTATGCCCGCCAATTAAGATAAAAATACACAATTTGGATAGTTATATCTCACTCCTACTTCCGGCAACAGCCATTTTTATATTTTTATAAATTTCTTGAAATTGTCCAAAAAATATCGTTTTTCAACTTTTAGCCACCATAATATTTCCAATCACTTTTTAAGAATCTTCATTGGATATTCTATCGCAAAACGTACAGTTTGTTACAGCCAAATCCATAAAACACCTTGTAAATGATTGAATAACAAAAATTTGGACAAATCAATAATAAGGGCGCCACAACTTGCTTTAGAAAAGTTTGTTATACACCGTGTTTTTACACTGTCAAATAGGATAAAAAACTTCTTCGCATTTTAAGCTTTAAAATGATATACCCTATGTTACATTTTATGCCTGCCTAAAAGGAGGCATATTCCGTTAAACATTAAATTAATCATTTTTCAATAACTTTTATTAATTACGTATAGATAAGTTTACCCTAAGTAAACTTGTAAAATCTAATATCGCCCTAAACAATAATATCGTATAAATATAAATATCGTTCAGCCTAAACTGGTCGTAGTACATTGGATTGTAGTGTATAACCATTACACAGCCAGTGAGAACTCTTTATCACGCACAGGTAGAGGCCAATTTGTTACTTTTTGTATCAAGCTAATGCTGCATTATTACTTGTAAATAAATAAAGAATGGTTTGATTACAGTATTTATTAGCGAAGCGAAACTCCCAAAAATCGACTTAAATCGAATAGTCATCGCATCACGCAATGTCGTTAACTAATAAATTAAACTAATGAAATATTTATTTTTGTATAGTTGGAGTAACAAGTTGTATAATTATAAAGTTCAAAAGCTTTTTCGTCATACTGCAGCAAAAACAGCCATTTTTAATGCATGCGTTGCGGGTCTAAAGTAGCATTTTTACTCCCTTAGGAGTAGGAAATCATTATTAGTCTCTTGGGAGTAAAACTCAGCTGTTGTAAACAGTTGTACATTTTGATTGTGGCAATCGTATCGGTCGAAATTATTATCGAAATCTATTCACAATACTCCATGACTAACTTGCCCATAGTATATCCAGGAATTATGCTACAGTTATACATTCTTAGGCAAACTGATTTCCCTTCAAAACATTATTTGCTAACGGAAGTCCATTTAAATACTTCAATTCTAAATGTTGTAGTCTCTTCCGGGGTCATTACCTATCCTTCTGGGAACGTCAGACGTCCGGTGTCGCTGGGGGCGACAAACTCCATCCTCTTCGCTCTACCCCCACTCAAGCACTTGCTACCCCTCAACTGCCGGGAAGGACCATAAATCTGGGGATTAGCTTAAACAATGCCTGTGTAGGATTATTGGTAAACGTCCGTCTCCCGAATGCGCCTGCCCTTGGGGGGGCTTGGCACCCCTGACAAGTGCTGGCAATGAATGTAAAAAAAAATAATTGAATATATATAGAGTAAACGTACTGTGCTCAGTCCATCCACAAATAAGGAGAAAGTTAAAGTTTCTATGTCTTTCTTGCTTAAATTTTCCTTTGCCAGCAAAGATGTCATAAAACTGAATTTGTTAGCAGTTAGCTTATTCTCTTTAGCTAACGTTTCAATTGAGACCAATGCTTCGTTAACATACTTGAGTGTTGTCCTGAAACAATCCTGAATATAACAAACATAAATTTGTTTAATGCTAGACATGCAAATAAAATGAGAACAAGCTATTTTAAAAAGCAAACCTTTCTATAATTTTTCTATATTTTCAATAATAAATTGATTTAAACACTAATTTAATGAATCAGTTTTTGTTATTTTTAAATTTGTGAAATCTACAAAAAGAGATAAATCATTGCATGGCACTTAAAAAATCAGAATGAAACTTTGAGTGATTCACATTCAAGGTAGTACATTCACCTTAGTATTTTTCTCCACTAAATAGGTTCAATCGAATATTCGTTCTTTAAATTTAATTCTAAGTTTATATATTTGGTCAACAGTTTTAAATTAAATTAATCATTTTCCAGATAATTCTTAAAAATTTCCCTTTGTTTAGAGAGACTTTAAAAGAGAGTTTTAGAGAGTTTAAATAGCTTTGAATTTTCACCATGCAAAATAAAACTAACAATAGATTTTGTAAAAAGGAGATTGTAAGGTGATTGCTGATAGGTTTTTGAAACATATCTCAAGAGCTTATTTACCTCACAACAATATCTTCAGCTTCCACAATTTTCTTCCATTTCGGTGTAGGTATGTACTTGTAGACGGGTAAGGAGAACTTCAGTAGTCCGGAGAGATAAAACATATTCTTGTTGGCTTGGATCACTTGCTCTATCACAGCTTTCTGAGGGCCGTCACTAAGGTAACCCAGCCGTCGATCAAAACACACGACGCCTGCAGCTGAAGGTTTATGGGTTATTCATTAGTTAGAAAATAATATACATTTACAATTTCCAGGTTAAGCTAACTTCTCCTCAGTAGGTTAGGATAGATTAAGATTCAGGCTCAGCAAATGAGTATTTGAAACATTTTATGAACGTTTTACTCCTGCAGTATCCTTTATAGGTACTCTCTAGGACTCAATGGACAATTTCCTGGCTGTCAAACATTTCAGATGAAAATAAAAAAAGCACATTTTCTAGTCGCTTCAATTGGCTCTGTTCACTAAAATAATCTTTCAGCATTAAAATTGTACCTGAGATACCGGATTTTGCTACTTTGGTCAATTCACTAAGTTAGTGACCTTTGACTGTTTATATTGAGACTTCATTATCCAATAGTCAATAGTGACATGCTTTTATCAAAGAGAAAAATTGTAGTTTCCAGTGTTGGGAAGTAGTTTTGTAGCGGAATTTTAGCTACTTTTCTCGCTACATTAACACTGATTGAGATAGTGATTTTTTTTCACAACTTATGTGAAACAACCTCGTTCAAACTGAGATTTTCAAGAAAATTAGGCCTACTTTTTTGGCTTCATACAGCTGGTCGCAGCCGTTTCATTAACCTATTACAACGTTGTGTGGACATGGAGGCCATTCATTAAATCTGAGTGTTATCCACATTTTTAGCATTAATTTCCTTCATTTGCTACTCTATGGCCCAGCGCACACGGTGTGACTGTTTTACAACTTTCGTTGCAAACCAGTTGCGCGTGCAACTGTTTTGAGACCTCGGCAATGTATTGCAGTGGGGAGGCGCACACGATGCAACTGATTGTATGCAATTTCAAAAAAAGTTTGAAACCAGTCTCATGCAACCGTGGGCCTGACGTTGCAGTTGCGTTGCAGACTTCAGTTGCACGAGACCACGAGGTGTTTTTGTGGTATCTGTTGGTATTTTAACGGCCGTATAGTGTTTTTAGTGTTTATAATTTCCTATCCGACTAGCTGTAGCTGCTACAAACAGCTTAGTACTAACATTCTTGCTCAAATAAGGGTTTAACCTAATGTTCTCTCAGTACCCTTCGCTGTCTTCGGTATTGATAATAGCTAATAACGTCTTCTTCATCTGAGTCTGACGTAGTAAGTGCACTTAAGGCCTTAAAACAACGTAACTGCACTTATTGACACTCCACTGATTGCTAAAATAGACGCAACTGTAGTTGTAAAACAGTCACACCGTGTGCGGACAGAAGCTTTGTTTCAGTTGCAAACTGGTTTCAGATGCAACTGGTTTGCAACAAGTTGTAAAACAGTCACACCGACTGCGCTGGGCCTATGATTACTGTCAGATAAAATTAAATCGCTAGATGCAGACGATGTTTAAACATTACCAGTGACAAGAGAAGCTATTGAATGCTTGCAAGTGATTGACAGGGAAATTACTGTCGGGACCACCTAAGTTTGCAGTTGAGGGAGGAGCCTATTTACCATATGGTTTTGGATGAACCAATGAGAACCGTGCGGTGTTGCCAAATCTAATAATACCAGCTGATTTGAAAATATTGCTTAGTATATTTTAATTAGTGTTGTCAACGGGCGATGTGGCAACGTCGCACTAGCCTTGTCTTGTGATTGGCTGCCACTAACTGCAAACTTACGTGGTCCCGACAATAGTAATCAATTTATAGTTTCTTTATTTTATCGATAGTTTCAACTTGGGTTTTAATGGAAACCAACACTAAACCTTTAAATAGTCATTGTGTTTCTTTTGACAAATCCTTCAAAATGAGCGGTCACTTAATAGGGGTTGCTATTTGAAAAAAATGAGTCACCCTCTACCCCCTACCCTGTTAAGGGGGTTAAAATTTATTTTTTATTTAAAAATTATGGAACCTTTATTGTTAACAATCGACGCCACAAACAGAATATTTCTATCTATTTCGGTAAAAAACATACAGATTTGTTTCAAGACTTAATTTACACACTGTATATAGATAGATAGTTTATTCTTATTGAAATGTGTGCACTTGTTAAATCCAGTTATTTATATATATATATTTATATATAGTTAAATAACATTACCATCATGGCCCTAGTTAAAAATCAGTAGGGGTCCGACACTCGAGTTTGGAGCTCTACAGAAAAGTAACTAAACTACTTAAAAACACTAGGAGAGGATATTTAAATTGTCTTTGTTTTATTCTACGTATTCCTATGAAAACTAATACTTTTTAGCTCGTTATGAATTTGTTATGACTGTCGGAAGGCAAAAAACGCCTTGTTTCAGAGTTTCAAAACCATCTTATAACTCTGGAAATTTGCGCAATTTAAACTGAAGTTCAGAAATTCATCAAACTTTAATACAACATAGACACATATTAATGAGTTGATTAATATGTTTTAAGAATTTTTACTTTACTAAAAAAGTTTTTATTGTCAATTAGGTGGATAAACTATCTCTAAAAAGAACAAAAAAAAAGAAACAGGGAGTGCTAGGAAAAAATTGAAAAGTTTGTTTTGGAAGTAGTGATTTTGGTTGTTGGAATATTGATAATGCTAAACCATGTGGGCAAATATTTTTTAGAGGTTTTAGAAATAAAATTAGTACAGATGGCATAAATCTTGAAATTGTGTGTTCAATTGGTGCCGAAAAAGAGAGACGTATTTGGCACATAAATCCCTCCAGTAAGCTCTGAAACCAGAAAGTGTGGCTGTGTTCAAGTTCCATGATGGATGTTTGTCCAAGGAGAGTTGATGTTACCATTGTACTGTACTCACACTCTTGAGCCCACTTTGCTATCTCCGTGGCCAAGTCAGGGACACATCCCTGCTCATCTCTGCAACATCGAAGCCTTGAGACCAAGTCACGTGCGACCAAGCCAACATCAGGCAAGTATTGCTGCACATCACGAGGTCGTAACATCAGGTGACGAATGGCTGCACGTAAGCGATACCACTCTGCCCCATTGCTGTCAAATATTATGTAAAGTTAAAATATCATATTCAAACAATAAAGTAATTCCTCCATTGAGGACCCTTTCACACGAGGCCACCTGTGGCGGACCAATACTGGTTGCCTGCCACAGTTTAAATATTGTTATAAATGAGAGCCTTTAGACGCGGCCACTGCAGTTGCCCGTCAGGACACAGTGGTCGAGCAGTGTCTCCTTGCTCGACTGCTAGCCGGCAACCGCAGTGGCATTGAATTAAATGGGAGCCTTCAGAAGCCACTAGTCGAGGCTGCCTCCGCGAAACCGCGTGGATCAATGCGTATTTTGGGGTAAAAAGTCGGTTCAGTCCAAGTCCAAGTCTATATGACTGTGGCAACTAGCGCCATGTCTCATAGTGGCGCACCGTAGGTCGACACCAGCTCGGGTTACCGCAGCAGCGGTCTTCCCCCAGGCACTGTTCTCCGTCCTCGCAAGGGTAAGTCCCGGGGGGGTGGAGTTGCTGGGCCGGACGGCGGCGGCAGACGTCTGGTGGCCTTGACATAAGCCGTTTTGCTGGTCAGCGGGTGGTTGCGAAGTCAGGCTCCACACAGAAGCAGGGAGTCGGTCCATCTTCAAAATCAAGTCCGCGGGCAAGTGCAGGGTCGTGGTCGGGCCCGACGCGCGAGGCAGGGCTGCAGAGCCAGAAGGCACAGCAGTGGGCGCATCGGGGTGGCCTTGTAAAAGGCTGTTTTGCGGCTGGTCGCTGCTCACGGGTTGCAAATCCGGAGGGGTCCCGGGTGTTCCGCCTGAATCTTCCTCTTCCATTGTGTAGTCGAAAAGTCCAATCAATAAGCTGCGCTCCGAGGTGTTGACTCCACAAAGGTTGGCGATCGAAAAGTCAGTTCACTTACAGAGACAGAAGCACTTGTGCTAGTTGTGGAGTGGTTTCATGTTGAACTGTTTATTTTGTTGCACTTAACACACAGTCCTATTAAAACATATATTTATAACTCAAAACTTCATTAAAAAACTTTATGGACATGCGAAAATAGTCAAAAAACCCTTTTTTTGTCAACACACAGTTTGCCAAACGACGTGTAATAAAGTCCATTGTCAGCTGTACTTTAGGGGTTAGTATTGGATGGTCATGGAACATACACTTTCGTCTCCACCTTCTTTTCTTGATTAGTAACAAGAGGAGAAGGAGATGTTCATTGCTCGTTAGTATTTTCTCAACTAGTTGTACGGTGGCTATTCGTGGAGTGGTTTGTCAGTTGCCTGTACCATCAACTGCAGTTGCCCGCGGCCTGTAACTAGAGGCCGCTTGGCAGCCGCCACCAGTAGCCTTGTGTAAAAAGGGCCTAACCTTAAAGTTTGTTTTCCACCTTTACATCATAAGACACTAGGCTCTAGCCCGGAACAGTTTTTACATTATAATGTTGGGATTCACACTTCAGACTAAGCCTAGAAGGGTTGTGGCATTATCACTTAGATAAAATCCCTAGGTGATGGGAGTGTTTAGAATCCAAACCTTGGGGACTAAAAGTGCCCCACCCTCTATCAATAGACAGACAACTCTCCCCCCCCCCCAACTGAGCTTCTAGAGGTGGACCGATGCTTTTAGGTGTCAAACAAGGTAAATCACTATAAGGATTTTCTCCCTTTAGGAAGTATTTGAGAATAATACATTGAAAGTGACTGGAAATAATGCAGATGATGGTTAAAACATCTGTCTGATTTCCATATAAATGTTGTAATTGACTTACGTGTTTCCTAAACCCAATGACATTTCAGCTTTCTGCCTGTACAACTGAGCTGTTTCTTGTAGAGGAACGACATGTGGCATTTTCCCTTCATTCTGAAAGGAACAATAAATGCAGATACTTTAAGGACAGACTTAGCAAATTTCCATTTGTCTATCAAGATTTTTAGAGTAATATTTTCTTTAAGAAAAAATGTACCTAAGTAAGATATATTCTCTATTTAAATATTTTACAAGTACTTAGGTTTGCTGCTATACTGCACATAAAGTACCCATGAACTTTTGAGAAAACTACAAGTCACACCCCCATAAACCGTATACTTAAAATGTTTGTCATGACGAGAAACCTTGCGCATAACTACCTATCCGTTATTTCATTAATTGCCCTTTAAGGTCGTAATTCCTTTCCATATACATAATGTTAAAAATACCTCAGCTGTGCTTAATTGTATGTTATTCTTTCAATTTATTACCTTAGAAAAATAAGGTGTAATTATTTGTTTGTATTAATTTATTCTGTTTTGTTTATTTCAGCTTAACTTATCCAATCAATAGTTTTATTAATAATACTTATGAGGTCAAATGGAGTGAAGCCTGTGGGTAACAGCTACCGGTAGTATTTCTAATTTAGATTATTTTACCAAACAAATAAAAAAAAAAACCACAGCTAGCTAGGTCTCCTTGGGGGTTGTCATATCAGACTAAAACTGAACAAGAGACAGTAAAACAGTGCAGGGAATATGGGTGTGTTAGGGAGCCATTTGTTACCCAGTGTGGATAACTCATTCACTGGTGCATTCACCCCAATTTATTATTACAATTCTACTATAGATTTTTCACAAGGACCAACAAATATTAATCTCCTGTGTACGATGGATAAAAGGAACTTTCTATAAGCAGATAGTTTCTGTGAATACCTGATAGATTATCCGGGCATCATCTGGGTCAAATACATGGACCAAAGTCGAGCTCCCAATATTTTCTCTAGATATTGGACCATATTTCTCATACAAGTGTTGCAAAACTTCATGGTATTTCAGCACATTAAATATACCTGATAACCAAACAAAAATAATGTAAATTACGACCAAAGTGTTTTAGACACTAATTTTTACTTTCTACACCTACAATGTTTTTTACAATGTTTTTACAATGTTTTACAATGAGTTTTTGATGGAAAACCCGTTTCCCCCTGAACACGTGGCTTGGCTAAAAAGTGGATTTTGAAGTACATAGTGTATGTGTGTACGTGTGGATGTGGTAAGTTCTTCAGACTACACATGTGGTTTGATTTTGATGAAATTTTTGTACGCTGGTCTATGTTATCTCAAGACATTATTTCATTTCATTTAAGCTTTGGGTGTTGTCAGGCGCCCCCCTATCCCCCAAACATAAATAATAAGTGATGCTCGTTTTACGTGGTTGGTTGCGTCGCTATCTTCGTTTTAATTTCCCAACAACAGACACCTGAAAGTATATAATTACCTTACAAAAATACTAGAGTCAGGAATCAGGGATTAAATACTTAAATTTTTGATGAAAATCTTTTTTAATTGAAAATTTGATTATCATCAATTAAAAAAGATTTTTATCAAAAATTTAAGTAATTTAATAAGAAAATATTAAAACCTATAAAAAGTACTATTAATAATACAGTGCAAATTTAATGTACACTGACACAATATTCACGTAAATAACTCATAATCACTCATCTTGGGGGTTTAAATTCAGCTGGCATCTTCATGGACATGTCCCAGGCATTTTATAATGTAGACTACCATCAATTAATAGCTAAACTTGATAATTTGGGTATTAAAGGAGTCACTCTCAAATGGTTTAAATCATACTTAGAGGAACGTTACCAATTTGTGGAAATATCAACTTTGTCAAAAAATAACATCATCCAAAAAACAAGATCTAATTTATCAAAGATATCATCTGGTGTCCTACAGTGATCGATTCTTGGTCCTCTTTTATTCATATGTTACCTTAAAAATCTTCCAAATTTTCTAAATGACCCAGGTAGTAAGATAAGTATATATGCAGATGATATTAATCTTAACACAACTGGGAAATCCCTAACTGATTTAGAAATGTCTGCTAAATCAGAATTAAAAAGTCTGAATCAGTTTTTAAAAGACTATAATTTAGTACTTAATGCTGGTAAAAGAGACAAAAATGATAAAAGTATAAAGTTTGATATAGATACAAATTCCATTGCTCAAGTTAAAACCTCAAAACTATTGGGTTTGATAATAGATGAGGATTTAAGCTGGAATAAACATGTTGAGTATTTAATAAAAAAACTAAATTCTGGTATATTCGTCCTAAGAACAATGTCATATCTCTGTGAAGGATCAGTCCTTAAAATGATATATCATGCTCATATTGAATCACATATTAACTATGAAATTAGTATTTATGGTGGGACAAAGAAAGAATTTAAAAAAGATTTTGAAAATACAAAAAAAGCAATCAGGATAATACATAAATTAAAATATAACCAGTCCGTCAAATCTTATTATAAAGGGATGGGCATTTTTACAGTTCACGCCTTATATATTTTTGAAACAATTAAATATTTTTTAAATATTGCTAAGACTCAAGAATTACCTGTGCATAATTGTAATACAAGGGGTAAAAATTATTTAGTTAAAGAAAAACCAAGACTTGAACTTTTTAAAAATAAATCTTCTTATATTAGAAACTATTTTTTTTAGAAAACTTCCTATAGCATTTAAAAAACGAAAAAGACAAATCTAAATTTATGAAAAAACTGAAGGCATTCTTACTTGACCTTGCACCTTACAAAATAGAAGATTATAGTAATTTCAATTGTAAATAAAGTAGCCTGTAGTATTTTGTTTAACTGTTTCTTATTGCTAATTTAGGTAGTAAGTAACAATAGACACTATATTCATGTACGAAAATTTGTACTGTGTTAATAAATACTCTTTGAATCTTGAAGTCAATTTCTCTTGTCTCTACCATGAGTCATCGTCAGAGTCTTAATGTTCGGCTGTTGGCCGGTCGTGTGAAATAAGACATTGCAATAATGTTTATATTAAGATAACTTAGTTGGGACAGGGCCTTCAACTACACAGTGGGGTTCAATATTAGGCAATTAATGCTAAACTAAAAGTAGTATACAAGCAAATCCAACTACTACATTTTCATAAAATATTTAACTTGGGAAAACTTTGCAAATATATAAAGGGATTGGTGTCAAATAATATGCATTTGCTTATACATACAACCTTAGACATTTCATCCCCATGTTAAAGTTGTAGCCAGGTTTTTAATCAAATTTGTCTTAGTTGATGTGAGCCACCTACAGATTGCCCTGATCTAAATTACTGATTTCTGCCGATTACATGATGGTTTGTACCAAGTCAAACTGATGGAATGACTTATTATGAGCTATAGCAACTGTTGTGACCCAGTAACTATGTCAGTAACAAAAAATAAGATACAAAATAGAGTTTTAGACACTAGCACAATCTGTTACTGGCTCACACGACTACATTCTTTTTTAGTAAAAAATTGGTGACAGCTGATCCATATAGATGGGATGTCTTCTTCTGTATCCAATAGTCAATGATACAACGTAATATTCAAAATTCAGTTATACATAACTTTCCAAAATGCATTAAGTACATCTAACCTAATTTTTTTCAATTTTGTTGTATTACGTTTACCATGGCACCTGCGGCTGTCTTACCCACGCGACGGCCCTGGCCGCACACTTTCACTATCCAGCTATACACAAATGAAAAAGTAATAACTACGAGCTGTTAGCCCGTCCTACGTACGGGATTACGGGAATCAAAGTAGTCAATTAAAACCCAATATAATTCAGAACAGCTGGGTTTATAGCAACCAATATTAGGTCACCGATCTGAGATAGCGCAGCGGTAGTCAATTACCTTAGTATATTATCTGTAAAACGTAAATGTCGAATAATGGGACCTTTTCCAATGTTAACTATGTTGTTATTACTCACCACGTGGAACTTTGAACGTATAATTAGGATACAACTTGCGCAAACAAAAAAGTTCATTGTGTCATGCATTTTCATGATCCTTTGAGCTTAAACAAATATTTTCTTCTTTGGATGAAACATGTTAACATTGTTATTTTCCTATTTTTTCCTAAAAAAATCGAGCAGTAAAATAATTTGCATAAGCTTTCCTTTGAAGGCTCAGGGGCAGAGCCATGATTTGTATACGGTAACTTAAATCAATGACAAAATCACAGAGTAAATAACTAACCTCATAGTTTTTATAGAATATTTTATATTCAACCAGCTGTTAGTTTAAACAAATTATATTGCTCTAAAAAAAACCTTGAAATTTTAAAAACTGCTCTAAAAAAGAAATTTGAACCTGAATATTAAAATAATCTGTCATCCTCTTGCAAAATAAATTAACTATCAATGATTATAGCATTACACATATAGTATAAATAAGTACACCCTACATATGTCATTAGGCTCATGGTGGAAGGAAAAAACATAGGTGTGCTATTCCCACATATTCTGACGTCACTCGGATTGCAAACAAAAGATCACCTGATTGTAACTGTCAAATTAGTATATGTATTTGTTTTGATTTAGTTGTTATTGTTTTTATTATTATGAAAACAATAACAATCAAATCAAAACAAATACAGTACATACTAATTTGACAGTTACAATCAGGTGATCTTTTGTTTGCAATCCGAGTGACGTCAGAATATGTGGGAATAGCACACCTATGTTTTTTCCTTCCACCATGCATTAGGCTATTATCCAAATGCTGAATTTGTGTCACACACCTGAATGTTTACAGCTCCTGTAACGTTAAGCAAATAGTATCCAAAAGTCAATGATTATACCTAAAGATAGTCTAGATTGTTTGGGTCGGCTGCTAGACTTTAAAAAATTATAACTTAATTTCTAAAAAAACTTAATACCTAAACTAAAATTATGGCTTCAACATTCCCTAGTTCTCAAAATTATCTTGCTTTCAACACAAAAATCATGAAAATCCGTCAAGTGGTTGATTCAAAATCGTTAAATAAAAAAACCCTGTCATGTTTTAATATATATGATGATGATGATAACCAATAAGTAAGTTATCGGTGCCAACATTAGGTAAGTTATGTATTAAATCTCTTGATCCCATTCTGATACAAAGTGACTTTGTATGGTCGCCATTTCATTTGAAAATTATTAAAGTATTAATTTTAATTATACCTGAGATAACTCACCTAGTTTATATAGGTAAAGGGTACCAATCACTGGCAAGCTTATTGGACCAGGAATATGTCTGAAGGAACGAACCAGTTTTGAACCACTCCGGGACAACTCCATGGCACTTCTAAACCACAGTAGGTTTTATCTTAGGTCAAAGGTAACATTTCAACTGATAACTTGTTTTGTTCACTACTAAGATTCTACATATCTATTGATTAGATTAGCTAAACAAAAATACATTGGGACAAAGCTTGTAATCTTAATCCTTTATAATTATTTAAAATTGATTTGATAATTAATGGAGGTAAATTTGTATTTATAATAATGTCCAAACTTTCTACAGAAAAAAATTGTTTTCATATCAAGAGTATTTGCATATTTTGTATCTATGTTAACATTCTGTAAATCACTTTCATGTTTTAATAAATTTACTTGTAATGTTGTAATAAATAAATCTGATCTCTAATACAGGAAATTGAATTTGGGAAAAAATCATTGACCGTTCAATAGCGTTTGTAGCAAATCAAGGCATTTGAAAGCTTTGATTGTAATCTGGATATTTTGTCTTGTAAGGGTTTTATTTTTTAAAGGGACTGTATTTTAATTCAAAAGATGATTTTATTTTATCAATCCGTATATTTTTTGAAATGAAAAAACAATTTTTTTGTGATTTTATAAAAAAAAATAATTCCAAAAAAATTATATTTTTTATAGCATTTCAAAAATATTTTTATTTCTATACAGGGTGTCACAAAAAAGTGTGATGGGCTATGCAGGACCTAATTCTACATGCAAAAATAAGTCAAAAATGAAGAATAAAATTGTTTGGATTTCGGCTTAGTTTAGCCGTAGTCCGCCATTTTGTTTTTTGGGGAAAATATTTATTATTTCAAAACCCCTTTGAGATATTTTTACGAAACTTGGCAAAATTGTTTACACTATAGTAAGTAACATTTATAAAAAAAATTATTATTTTAACTTTCCAAATTTCAAAATGGCGGCAGTTTGAATTTTTTAATGCCAAATTTCATGAAAATCGGTACCCAAATCAAAATTTTGTAAGACACAAAAGTTTTAGTATTTATTATGACAAATCCAAAAAAACAAAACTGAATAAAATCGGTTCATAAATAAAGAAGCTGTGTTTATTTTAGTAATTTAGACTGAAATTATTAATATTAAAATGTATAATGTAATAATTATGTAACGTATTAAGTAATTTCAGTCTAAATTACTAAAATAAACACAGCTTATTTATTTATGAACCGATTTTATTCATTTTTGTTTTGTTGGATTTGTCATAATAAATACTAAAACTTTTGTGTCTTACAAAATTTTGATTTAGGTACCGGTTTTCATGAAATTTGGTATTAAAAAACTCAAACGGCCGCCATTTTGAAATTTGGAAAGTTAAAATAATAATTTTTTTTATAAATGTTACTTACTATAGTGTAAACAATTTTGCCAAGTTTCGTAAAAATATCTCAAAGGGGTTTTGAAATAATAAATATTTTCCCCAAAAAACAAAATGGCGGACTACGGCTAAACTAAGCCGAAATCCAAAAAATTTTATTCTTCATTTTTGACTTATTTTTGCATGTAGAATTAGGTCCTGTATAGCCCATCACACTTTTTTGTGACACCCTGTATAAGGAATTATATTTTACACAATTTATACATTTGTAGGCTACCTAATGTGTAAAAAAAGTAACATAAATTTACACTGTCCATTTATCACTGAAACAGAATATATATATACATATACATACATACTTATATTCATAAATAACTGTTTTATGGCAGAATATATGTTATCACAGCAAAACCAAAAATCTCTGCCACCCAGAACTAAAAAGTGCCGCCACATCAGGGTTAAGGATTTCTTGAGCCTTGAAATAAACTGGGAAGCTTCGAAGCTTGTACACATGAACCTAGGTCAATTTAATTTTGTATGCCTCAAAATTTCTTTCAAATCATTCATTTAAGCACGTCATTTTCAAATTTTTCCGGACCCCCCACCTTTGCTGGAGTCCAAGTCTTAAAGGAAATAAAAAAAAATGCAACAGCTGATCGTGGTCGTAGTGTCTTTAAGTGTTGCCAATCTATTTCCAAGCTTACATGGATTATGTGCATAAAGCACGCTGTTTTGTGTTGTTTGGTTGGAATATGGTGTGCGACAAAGTAAGTAAATGCAGCAATTGGGAGCTTTCTGTACTATGTGATCAGTGCAAGGAAGCCCACTTTGTTGGACGACTGTAGGATATAGTTATGTGTGTAACTAGTGGGCAAAGTGGCACTTTGCTGCACACGAGAGCAATGTTTACGAGAGGAATGATCTCGAGTGCAGCAAAGGCCTTTTGCACTCGTGTTACACATTATATTTTTCCTACAGTCACTATAAAGCATATAAATAATTAGTCTTTCAAACACTATACAACACGTTTTTAGGTTCTGCTGGCAACACAAATGCGGTCCGTATCACTCCGCTATTTTTCCTCGGCAAGAAATGTGCTCCGGGACTTGAGAATATAGTTCCGTATGTGTTTGTAATTTGAAGTGGTTTCCGCTCCTAAAAAAATACTTTAATAGTTATTTGTGTAACTAGTGGTGAAAGTGGCACTTTGCTGCACACGAGAGCAATGTTTACGAGAGGAATGTTCTCGAGTGCAGCAAAGGCCTTTTTCACTCGTGTTACACATTATATTTTTCCTACAGTCACTATAAAGCATATAAATAATTAGTCTTTCAAACACTATGCAACACGTTTTTAGGTTCAGCTGGCAACACAAATGGTGCCCTAGAGAAAGTAGTACCCGCGGTCCATATCACTTCGCTATTTTTCCTCGGCAAGAAATGTGCTCCGCGTTTTGAGAATATAGTTCCGTATGTTTTTGTAATTTGAAGTGGTTTCCGCGCCTAAAAAAAAATGCTTAAAAGGTATTTTCTTGTTTATTAAGATCGTAGGAAGGTTTTAAAAACGTTTAAAAGAAAAGTTTAGAAAGTTCAGAAATACCGAAACTATAAACACAAAATGACAGGTTAAATCGTAGTTATAATAGTCAATCAGCTGCTCATAGTATAATTATCTTTAAGTGTTGCCAACCTATTTCCAAGCGTACACGGATTACGTGCATAATGGAACCACGCTGTTTTGTGTTGTTTCGTTGGAATCCTGATGTGCGGCAAAGTATAAACCGTACGGCAAAGTATAAATATGCAGCAATTAGCAGCTTTCTGTATTATAAACAGTACAAGGAAGCCAACTTTCTCGGGTGACTGTAGGAAAAGGTATTTTCTTGTTTATTAAGATCGTAGGAATGTTTTAAAAACGTTTAAAAGAAAAGTCCAGAAAGTTCAGAAATACCGAAATGATAAACACAAAATGACAGGTTAAATCGTAGTTATAATAGTCAATCAGCTGCTCATAGTATTACTATCTTTAAGTGTTGCCAACCTATTTCCAAGCGTACACGGATTACGTGCATAATAGAACCACCCTGTTTTGTGTTGTTTCGTTGGAATGCTGATGTGCGCCAAGGTATAAACCGTACGACAAAGTATAAATATGCAGCAAGCAGCTTTCTGTACTATAAACAGTACAAGGAAGCCAACTTTGTCGGGTGACTGTAGGAAAATTAATTTGTTACCCAAACTCTATTTTTAGAGAAAGAAAAACCCAATCAGCTGATTCTCCCTTGCTCTCGATAAATTCTCCATTCATTCCCCATTGGTGTTTTCTTACAATATATTTCTAACTTCTATTACCGGTATTGAAATCAACTGTTATATTGTTCAACTATACAAATATAAACAGAAATATGTATTTGGTAGTTATGTTGTGTTTTAGCTGGTAGTGCGTGATTACTGCACAATTAACGTAATCGTAATCTTGAACTTGAAGCTCTACTTTTCTTGTTATGATGGGTTTTGTGTTTGCAATATAACTGTTTAATTTTATGTTTTATGTTAAAATACTGTAATGTTTATTAGGAAATAAACATTTTCATTTTACTGAGGACTGTGTCGTGTCGTGATGAAAAGTGGTTTATAACTTCAACCATACTGAAATTCATTTTCCGGCACTTGCTCAAATTCCCATTCTTGGCTTCACCTTGTACGTGAAAATTAACTCTTTCATGCTGAAATTTTGTGTTCCTGTGTTTGGCTTTGCATACAGTCCAAACTCGGTGAAAGAAAAAGAAGGGACTGAACTGAATATTTGTTATATCAATCATTTCATTAAAACGAGGTTCGTTATATTGGGGTAAGGTTTGCAGGAATTTCGCTAAGTCTCGTTCATCAGTCCTCGGTGAATTGAAATCAGTTGTGACGCGCACAGCAGAGAGATCTGGAGATGTGAAAAACTGTGCAGACATATCAAATGTTGCGCAAGCGTTGATGTCCTCTTACCATTTTATATTCATCAAGAAACTGTGATTTTTCAAAAACAATAATGTGGGGGGAGTTTGTTATTTATTTATTTATTTCCCAACGGTTTACACCAGTTTACAAGAATGTATACAATATTGAAAGATGGCAAAATACATGCAACAGTGAGTGGTAACAGCAAGAACATAATTAATGAACAAAAATTAACAAACAAGTAAATTCCCAAAAACACATATATCGAGGGAAAGATGCAGACAGTTCGTTAAAGTAGAGGTTAAATTCACCATGTAGAGGTTCTGACTATGATAAATTCGTTATATTGAGGTGTCTAATTTTAGCCGGGATCGTCAAAAATTTGTTAAATCAAGGTTGTTGATATAGTTTGCTTGTTATGTAGAGAGAGGTCAAATATACATGGATTCTTATGGAGGGTTCTAGGGGATTTGAAAAAAAATTTTATATCAAGGAATTTGTTTTTTTTAAGGTAGTACTGTACATTAAATTTATAAGAGCACACCGGAAAATATTTTACCTACGACCGTTTTTTAAAGTAGCCATTTCAGTTCAGTTCTTAGAATTGAAAAGTTTCACTTAACAGCTGTTTACTTTCATATCAGCATAGTTTTTCTCATATTATCGTTGGGTAACGGACCAATGAGGTTCAAGGATTGAGAGAAAAGAAGTACAATTGTAATACTTCAAACGTCAACTAATCAGCTGATCAACTGATCAGTTGACAATTTTAATTGTTGATCCGGCTTAATTGTTCCTGTTGATACTCGCGTATTCTTAACCTAAGTTGGTGGAAGTTAAATGAAGGTTGATTTTAAAATATCAGTTAGTAAAAGTGATGTTGACGAGATAGAAATGAGAGCACAAACTGTTTGTGCTAATCTTTTGCCACCAAAATAAAAACAAAGGTACCATATGCAATTACATACGGTACCAGCAATTCATTAAATGGACGAAACAAAATAAGGTTAAATTGATAAATGAATATGTTCTTCTGGTTTATTTTAAAAACCTCTTAACCACTTTTTCACCCAACTCGTTGTGGACCACATATCCGATGCTGAGATCTAACTGTAAATTAACTGTTTCACTATATTATTCAGTTGTCCAAAAATATATGCAATATTTCCCTAATTGTACCTGATTTATGGTAAGAATGCTGCTAGCAGAACATATTGCCTGAAAAAGTAACGTATTATTTAGCAAAGTTTTACAAACACGTAATTACATGAAATCAGCTGATTATACAATAAGTCGTTGCATCACTTTCAGTGACAATGACAATAAACGAAAACATAACCTCTCTAGGAAGTTATGAGTAGTGATTGTTAGTAATAAAAAACCAGATTTTTAGTAATTAAAAAACGGTCGTAGGTAAAGTAGTGTACGCAACTCGCGTTAATAGTCTTTACGACACTCGTAGAAGTTTTTAAGGCACTCGCCAAGGCTCGTGCCTTAAATTTTCTTGTGTCGTAAAGACTAACTTAACGCAATCGTTGCGTAAACTACTATTTCGATACTAGTAATGAAATATACTGTTGTGTCCTTGGTGTTTTTTACTTTCTCCCCCTATACCATAGTATTTGGAGAAAGTTTTGTTTTCGACAACATTTTCGAGTTTGAGTGGATATATCCGTTTTGGGTCCCCCTGGACCCAATAAAGTGGTTTTCGAAGTGAGGTCTGTGTGTGTGTGCGTGTGTCTGGATGTGTACAGAGCTAGGGACTACACCTGTGGTCCGATTTCGGTGAAATTTGGTGTGTAGGTTCTAATCCATGTATCTCCAGGCGTTTTTTTTTTATTTTTTTGAAATTTTTATTTTTAATGTTGATTTTTCTATAAAACCCATAAAATAATGGAAATATCAGTTTTTCTCAAAAATGGCCCAAACGATTTTGATAAAAATTTAGTATGTTGTAGCCCTTTAAATTGTGAACAAAATTGTACAACTCCCATTTAAGTAAAAATTATGGTTCAAAAGTGATTCTAAATTATGTTATTTTCCCATAAAACGCCATAAAATAATAAAAAATGGAATTTTAGAAAAAAGCCGGTTTTGATTTAACTTGAAGTATGGTCCTTGAAGTTTTGAATGTTTTTCATTTTTTTAAATTTTGATTTTTAATGGGGATTTCCCCATAAATTCATTCATTCAGTCATTCGCATGGCAGCGCCAGCGATGAGGAGATTACTCATCCCCCGCATTAAATCATGGCTTTGTATTGGTCTTCTGTTATTTCTCATATTTTTAATTTTAAAAACTAATTTTTATAATAGTGTAGCAAAAAGTAGAAGTCAAACTACTGAACATGCTGAATGAAAGATGTCTAAGCACTTTGTCTCTCAGCCCTTGTGAATTTTATTGCTTTGTTTTTTCTTTGTATAACAAATTATAACTAGTGTACCTGTTGCTCGAAATTGAGCAATTGTAAATTACTGATATTATACAGGAGTTATTTTAAAGCCAATAACAGTCATAATTTTCTATGAGTGCTCGAAATCCAGCAATTGTCAAGTACCGGTATTATATAGGAGTTATTTCAAAACAAACACTTGAGTCATTTCAAGTGATTGTGTAAAGATATACTGTATATGTGATTGTGGCTTCCTTACTGTTAGACCAGGCCTCTCTTCTACTTTTCTCATACGCACAAGATCTCGGGTACTTACCCCCACATTAACTATTATACTTTATGTTTATACATTAAGCTGATAGTAAAATTAAACTGTTCGGTACTTCAGTATTAAACGGAGGAAACATTTTGTCAGCGCGCTGCGGCGGTTATGTTAGGTTGGGTTATCGTAAATATTATGTGTGTAGGACTTTCCTCGCTTCGTTATGAATCGAACTATACTATCTATTATGATAACACAACCTAACATAACCGCCGCAGCGCGCTGACAAAATGTGGCCTCCGTTTAATACTGAAGTACCAACTGTTCTTAACTTAACCAAACATGATGTATGTGAGTAGCCTAAATGTGGGTCGTAAACTTAAGTGCAGCCAAGATGCCTTAATACTCCTCCTCCTGTTTTCAATATTTCATTTTTGAGCTCAAGGCATTTTCTTTTCTTCCAACAAAACTGATGAACTGTTTACGTTGGTCTTAACCTCCTGAATATTACAAACATCAATATTTACTCCCAAAAAAGCTGCTCAGTTTGTTTTTACAAACAACTATTACTAGTTTTTAAATTTGATCTATGTCATTCTTATGGGGAAAATCCATCTTTAAGAGCGCCTTGTGTCCTTAATGTTGAATTTATAAAACCTTAAGCAGCCTACACACTACACAAGCATTGCACGCCATGCCATTTTTATATTGCACGACGTGCTGTGGCACGGCACGTTGTTGCCCACACACTTGATCTTCAGTGTAGCCTGCAATCTGTTAAATTACATTGTCTGTTCGTACAAATGAAATGCAGAACACACACGTTTTAAGGACATAATTGATTAATTATTAAAAATAGACAATAGGCAGCAGCACTAAGCCGCCGTAGTGCCTAGGTTAGTCCAGACCTTGCACCTCGCCGCCGTACAGATATACGCCGGCATGGCACTTGGTTCGAAAATACTGTGGTGGAGGATGTATGGTCTATAATATATTATATAGAGATCTATGACTGCGTCTCTGCTCACGCATCACATACAGCGCGCGATCCGCGATCCATTGTGTTATAATTTTGATGGTCGTGCCAAAGGCAAAATGCCTCGATTCACTAATAAGAAAGTACTATTATAGGGTGAAACCCTGTCAAAAGTGAAAGAACTACCAGCACGTGGCACGGGATCGCCTACACACTAGCACGTCAGAACGGCGTGCTTTGGCACGGTACGCCAAAAATCAAACTCGTTTCGATTTCCACCGTGCTTGCACGGTGTTCACCACACACTTGCACGTTTTGTCTGTTTTTGGCACGACGTGCTTGCATGGCGTGCAAGGCACGTGTAGTGTGTCGGCCGCTTTATAGCAAAACTACAAATTGAGACAAAGTTTTGGACATCTTAAAATGTTGAAATAGGTCCACAAATAAGGGAGGAGTAGTGTTCACAAAAAACGGCTTCACGTATTATTTAAATATATATATGGGTTCGGATTGGATTCTATAAGGCTAAATTTTAACTTCTTGACTCCACTGCACATTGAATTAGAAAAGACAGCTGCATGTTTCTGTTCCTTTAGTTAACCACCATTTCAACTGTTAGTTTTATTCGTTCCTGCTCCACCAATTGCTGATATTTTCTAAGCAGGTAGTTTAGTAAAAGAAAAGTTTCAAAATTGCTAACAAGCTAAGGAATGAATAAAACAATTACAAGTAATATCAGATATATTTTATAATAAGTATGGAATACACATAAAAGATGAAGTGGCAAAGATATCAGTAACTTTGTACAGAGTCAGATCGTTTGTGCTAAGTTAACTAAATCACAAAAATATTAAAACTAGTGTGCGGGCTTAAATGTGCATCAACGGAAGACATGGTAATATCAGTAGCTTGTCTTACAATTTTTCACATATTTAAATCAATTAGAAGAAGCTAATATTGAATTATCAACCAAATTGAGGTAAACTGACTGTGATCGTAATTTTGTTAATCAGTAATTCATTACATTATTAAAATTGTGTGATTGGTTAGAATTGAACAAACGTTGAGAAAAAAGTTGCACTCCAAATAAAAAAGCAATATATAGGGTAATTTTCAATTTTAAAAGTATACAAGTATTTGAAATTATTTAAATGCAAGTCAAGGCATGGAAGTTTAAGATTCAGTTGCTGTTGCTTGTATACGGTAACATAATTAATTTTACATCATACTACACAGAAACAGGTACTTTTCCATCCATATTGATAGGCTGGAAAGTTGCCCTTTACCATGCCTAAACACGGAAAAGTAACGTTATGTACTTTTACCGTGCACTGCTAAAAACTTTTTACCGTGCACTATGAAATAAACAGCTAACTGCAACAGCCCATTTCATTTTCTGTAATAAAGAAATATTATAATTTATGTTACATACTCCAAATTTAACAAAAAATTTGCTACGGCTGGTCCATATAGATGGAACGCCTACTTCGGTATCCAATAGTCAATGGTTACATCTTAAATAAATGATGTTATGCATTTGAAATGTACTAATTATTCTGTGTATTATGATGTAAAGTATTGTACGTTACTCGCCCGGTAAGCTTTTAACTTTTAACGTACTCACACAAAAATCCTGCACTCGGATAAGCCTCGCGGGGGAACTGTTGTGCTCGCACAGTAAAACACCACTTACTGGGCTAGTAACGTAATATACTATAACAAAGCTATTTTTGTTCTAAGGTTTGTTCTAAGGGTAGCTTTTTCTTTAAAGTTGGATTATAAATACAGTCTGTGTCTAACAACTGCAAACCATTTGATGTGTTTGTAAAAATAAAATGCTAGTAAAACCAAACAAAACAGATGAGGATAAGTCAATCTTGTATTTAAACTGAACTACTGAAATTATCATTTAAAATTGAGCATAAATAATGCCAGTTGCTATGAAAGAAAAATAACAAAACATACAAAACCAATTTAAGATATTAAATTAGTGTTAGACATCAAGAAATCATACAAAAGAAATAATTTAAATTTAATTTTTAGTTTCATCATATTTTACCAATCGTAATAATTTATTCCTCAACAATTATGTATCTAGATTTTTGCTAAACCATCTGATACTGAGTGGTAAACACGGTACCACAGTTTTTGTTTGTTGTTTTGTTCCTAAAGAAGGCTTATGCCGAAATATATTGAAAAAATTGAATTTTAAAGTTTAGTAAAAGTTGGTCATGCCAACTTTCTGTATTTAGTGTGCAACTCCACTGTCAAATCTATGGAAATCTAATGGTTATAGTTGTACAACTTAGAGAAACCATTAATAGTGGTTTTAATTGTACAACCGATAAATGAAATGACCACAGTCAGGTTAAAATAAAGCCAATCTGAAGAAGACAAGTTCAGATCCATGGGATTATTTACAATACTAGAACTGACTTGTCATGAGTATTTACAATGAGAATCATGTCTACAAACGATCCGGTCGGATAATTGAGCACAACTTTGTTCAACTCTTTGGTTTTATGAATGCCACAACACATAATATCAATTACCCATATGCGATTTCTCAGACATGAAAATATCTATACATAATTCTAAAGAAGATCTAAAGTATCGTGTACGCTAGAGAACATCGGACTTATAATACAAGTATCCTAATATAAAAGACTCTACGTCTAACTAAGTGGATTACTGTAGTCGGTCATCTGTACCTAGGTGTACTGGGAAACAGGAATCCACTATGAATATTTACAAACATTCGCACACAAAGCTAAAGAGTTTCTAGCACACAACAATCACACAAAGAGAGCCTCGCCTTAACTAGAGATATGTGCGTCGTGATAAGCACACTTCCACAGCCTCTCCTCTACGCTACAGTCAAAACTCATATTAGTACAATATTTGTTCGTGTTTACTTTTGTTTTTTACTGAACCAAAATCTGGTTGAAACACTTAGGTTGCATAAACAGATTCCTTCAAGAGTTATAAATCTTCAAAAGGTTATATTTAATATTCATAAGAGAATCTAACATTTTGTTTTTACTGAAGAAAATGTTTACCTATGTATTTAAGATAATTAGTGTCATGTAACAACATTTTCCTTACAATCTTTGTTTCACCCCTATATATAAATCGCATATGTAAGTATATAACCTACATTATTATTTAACACGTACATTAACAATAATCCAAATAACAACAAAAATAACTCAAAATTACAATTGATTGACAAAAACTTTAAACGAAAAAAAAAAATGATATTTGTTCCAATACGATTTTAAAGAGTACATATATGAGAAAAATACCTTAGTAAAACAATATAACAATACTGACATATATTTTTAAATTTGATCAAATAACATTGTAAAAATAAGTATTGACGCTTTGCACATAATTTATCAAATATGATAATAGCATATTGTAGGAGTAAACTTAACAGAACAGAGTAGGTGAAAATCCAGTCAAATGTACAACAGCTTAATATTTAATTAAAGTCAATACTGTCATTTAGCTGTTATTTTAATGTGATGCTTGTGTGTGAGAATTGCATATTACAGATTTGTTGTTCCACTTTGACAAGGTGGGGTTTTTTTATTTTCAAGATTTATAATTGCTGTTTATGATCAGATTCAAATAAGATAGCTGGTAAAATAATTGATAATAAAATAAAACAATTGCTTGCAATTAAGTTTTCTCCTACAAATTGCTAAAAATGGCAAATTGTCATTGCCAGAAAAGCCTCATATCAAGGTCAATGTGGAATATCCAGTGACAGTAATGTGATCTTTGAAATAATAGCAAAATGATACATATTTGTAAAATATACAGAGTTTATATAAATGTAAATAGAGAAATAAAAATCAACGTTTGTGTTGGTAAAAGTTACAGATCATAAGCCTAGAGGTACCTGAATGAAATGAAAGCTTTATAAAACTAATTAAAAAACAGATAGAATGTGTATGATAACATTGTATATACATGTTAACTGGATAAAATAAACAGATTCTCCATGTTAAACAGTTTTCAAAGTTTCCCATTACTGCCGTTTAATGTTATATTTAATTACTAATAACACACAAGGTCATGGATTCAAGAGTATTATAAGTCAGCTGTGGAAATTCTCCTCACTGATTGTACGTCTTTTCATCTTCTATAGTTATACAACATATATATTATATAAAAAGAGAAATTACATTAAAACTACACGTGTATAACACTATCTGAGATTCCTCTAATTTTATAAAAAAAATATCGTTATGTATGTACAGACAAACACTCAGATAAAATTTGGGGCGTTTGATTAAACCGTAGCAATAAATAGGATCAAATACACGGAATAGGGAGCGACGTATCTAACATTGGTGTTCCGTGAGAACCTATCGACCACAGAGTAATGTCTATCAGTAGCACGGAGCTTGACAGTTGGATCAGGTAACTATGAAGATGTGCTCTCTGTAGATCGACGTGGCTCGATGGTTTAGTATGGCGCAAATCTGTTGTAGCCCCCTCTGTATACAGCCGCCTATTGACAAACACATAAATGTTACATAAACACTGGCAATGCAAACAGTGCAGTGTAACCTAGAGGTGTGTAGATATCAAAAAATCGGGGTCAGTTTCTAGAGCCCTAACTAGATATCCGACAATGTCATTTAAATATCTAACTTTTTTTGGATAGACTGTATATTATGACGTTTAAGTCTGAAAACAAAATCTTCATAAGATAATAATCATCATAAGTTACCAAGGACGTGATTTCAATATTACGTTTCCATCGACAAGACAGCGGTCGACAAGCAATCGTCTATGACAAGACAAATATCACAAAGTAAGAAACTGAGGATATGACTGAAAATTCAATGGTGCGTCAGTCCCTGGTGTCTAGAGCAAATTCTATTTGTTATCCCCTCCTGCTCTCTTTATCCCCCCTCTCCATCATGTACTACAGCACTAATGCTGTAGGAAGAGCACGCTCTGCGCTCTAACTGCTGTACATGAAGAACACAAAATATCTAATATGCTGCGATTTGTTGGAGCGCAGATTCCACTATTTGTAATGTGGCCACCCCGGTTCGGGCTCTTCCTTGCTCGATACAAGTACATTTCCGCCCCATAAGCAGAAGGTTTTACCATAAGCTTTTACCCTCTGTATGCTACTTCACTGTACAAATATCAAACCATTCAGCCATGATTAACTGATTCATGTTAAAAAATGGTACCAAATATAATAATAATTATATATTGTTTTTTAGCATTTTGACTAGCTTACTTAACAAAAATAAACTATACAACTTACTCCATATCCTGCCATGGGTCCAATCCCATGTCCTAAGTAAGGGTCAGCGTAATCACGGCCATATCTAAAACAAAAAAAAAAAAAAAAACATACAGTGTACTGAAGTGATTTCTGAAAAAAGTTTGACTTAATAAACAGTTAAAAGCACATTTGTACAAAAATGTTAATTCAAATTTGAAAAAAAAACATAAGTTTAACTTGGAATCAGAAATTGTTCGCATTAAAAAAGTTAGTTTTCTTAGTAAATAATAATAAAAATATTTATATATACACACATAGAGATAGCATTACAACCATATTTTATAATTATTAAACAGCAAATTTAAATAAACAAATTAGTCTACTTAAAAAAAAAATAAAAATAAAAAAAATATAAAAAAATACAAAAAAAATTAATAAAAATGAGTTCATTGATAAAAAATTGGAGGTAATATTAATAGCTACAAATAAATCACAAAGGAGAAGCAGGTGCCAATGTACCAAAAAGTTAATGGGAAATATCATGCTGTAAAGAGTAGATTAAAGGAAAACATTCTTAGAATGCAAAAATCGATTTTAGCCTAAATTAATATAACTTGTTTACCCAAGTAGGCCTTAATCAAGTAAATCAAAAGATTAACTGACTATAGTTAAGATTTTGGATTTTAAGAGAGCGAGAGTAGCAAATAGAAGATCAATTTTCGTTTAAAAAACTTAGACAATAAAGAACTTCACAAGATTGAGTGATTGCCCAGACATACTAAGCCGCTAAACCGTTTTTTAAATATTTATTTGTCATTTTACGTTAAAAATTGGGTAACATTTGATCGTGCATTTTATTTGGAGGAAATTACGACCAAACCCGAAATTACTATGACATTAATGACTGTTTATATTTATAAAGTTTAAACCAAATTTTAATTCAAGTTTTTGCATTCTAATAACAACGAACAAATTACATTAAATGACAATAGCAAGACTTTAATATTCTGTTACTGTATTTAATATTTGTTTAGGTAAATTAATAAGTAAAAAGTTCTAAAATAACAAGGCAAAGTAATGCATTCACTAAATAACAGTACCTTTAAATAGGTACACTAAATTAAAATAAGAAATGTGAAGGAGAAAATCGGTTGGGAAAATTAATTGGGTTGATTAATCAAAAGATGATTTTATAAGATGCAGAGAATGGAAAATTAAAGTGTTGCTATTTAAAGTGCTACTGAAATACCCAGTCTCGATAAAAGACAAAGAAAAAAGGTAGTGCTGAAAATTAAGGAATTTTGGTAGATTCCTATTAAGAGACATAAAAAATTCGACAAACAATGTGGAAATAATAATTCTTTAATACTTTAACTGGAACGGCTATTCAACATAAAGGCACAGTAATAGATTAATCCCAAAAAAATCAAGTATTATTTTATTCAACATCAACTTGTGTCTCTCCATTTGGTTATTTATATATTTAGATATTAACTGCACAAGCGCATTATGGCATAAGGGCAAAAAGTAGGTGTTTCCTATAAATAGGGCAAAATAGTTCCCACGCAAGACTTGCTAAGTAAGTTACAAGATTTCATGTTAATGTTTGGACCTCATTAGATGAGTAATTTATGGTTAGATCAAAGCTGTTAATATGTTTTCCAAAATAAATGAATATTTCCCCAGGAATCTACCAACACAAAAATATTAGTAAATTAGTTACAAACAATGAGTTGAGCGTTAGTCAATAACAATACATGCGAAGGTGAAGGTGATTTTACAAAGGACGTCATTCATCTATTCTGAAAGGTTTCTAGAACATAAGGAACTTCACAGTACACATAAAGCAGGTAGGGCTACTGGAAGGCAACCAGATATACAACAAGAACCACATGCCACCAAGGGAGGTTAGCTAAGTGACGAAGGTGGCTCACCCAGCGACCGTGTAGCCAGCCACAGGCTGAGCCGCAGCAGCTGCTGCGTTATATGCCCTCGCTGCGACCGCGGTATAAGCTGCTGCAGATGCATAACTAGCCTGCTGCGCTGCCGTTGACAAAGGTGCTTTCAGTAGAGGTGAAGCGGCTGCTGCTACCTATAATTGATTGTGTTAATATTCAATGCACACACACACACACACACACAAACACATGAAACAACAATTGATGACATCATAAGCCTTGAGATTAAAATAATAAATGTAAGAACAAAAAACATAATAATGAACATCATTTTACTTTCATAAACCTAAAATATTGCCTCAATTAAATTTCAATTAATTCACGAATTTCTCATCAACATTCATGAGTTTGCCATTGGTCAATTATTGGCAGAGCGTGTGGCAACTGTCTCACAAGCAGGGCATATTTTTAAATTCATTGAGGTTTCGAAAATTAGGATTGGGAAAATATTACCTTCCCACAGTTACTAAAGTTTTCAAATTGCACTTGGTCATCTAAATAAATTTCAGCCCAACATGGAGTACACATTAATAGAGCAAAGGCCATTGAATGAATCCAAAACACTAACACGTTCAAAATGTTTACCAAGCTTTTCTGGCTTCATTTTATAACTCAGTACATGATCAATTGTGTACTCAGAGCAATAAAATCTATCGGGAGATTTAATAGTAGTAGTTGCAAGTGGATTATCATGCTGAGCCATTTAAATTTTTATTTTATTAAACATACTATTATCAATTCACACTCACACTAGTAGAATTTACCATTAAGTTTATCATCACTCCTCAAATATTAACACCAGTTATTGCAATATTAGCATAGTGGGCAACTTTGCTGGATGCCTTTAGCAGAATTTATTACAAAAATAAAGTCTCCAGCAAATAAAATATTTTTTTATTACACCATATAATTTTTCAATTATAATCTTTAAATACACTGTGGAAGCAAATTAAAATACAATTTCAAATTACTTCATTGATTTGTTATCACAGGTTTAAAAGAAAGAGGAATTTATTATTAAATAAAATAAAATCGTACTCAATAAGTAAGTAAGTTTTCTGCACTAAGCAACATACATTTTTTCAGTCAATAATATATTAACTAATACCTACATCAATATTGATATATTCAAATAACATGGGAGACAAAAATGCATTTAACAGTCTTAATATTTTAGATTGTGCAATTAAAACAAAACTTATAAATACAAATTAAAATTAACCTCAAAAACATAAACAAATATCATTCAAATTTTAAGTACTTGAGCCAGCACATTATTTTAATATATATTTTTCCATTTGTTCTTTTCAATTAAAACTTGATGAATCATTGCTTGATAAAGAATTATTTTGTGCAAAAAAGTCAAATTGCTAAAAAGTGATTTGAACTGCATAAATTACAGTAAAAATAAGAGTGAAGTAAAAAAAAAGCTTTTTTCAAATCAAGTTGCTAGTTAGGACCGTAATGCCGTTGTAATTTAAAGGCACAAAACTCCAGACATGTTGTTGACCAATAAGGGTGATAACATAGTGGGGTGCGTAGCCCGATGGTAGCGGCGCTTCACACACATAGTAAAGCAGCAAAGGAAGCAAGTCAAGAAGCTGGATTACCGTACTTTTTAAATATAGGCCTACAATAAACCTGATTTATCCAAGCATCATAAGAGAGAAATTTACCGATTTTGTAAAGAAAAGAAACCATATAATGTTGAAAATAGTAAAACACAGCAAAAATTGCCATTTAGTTGCTTACATATTTAAAATATTATATAAATTACATATTTCTATAAACTTCAAAGTATAGTGTAAAAAATTTAAATAAAACAGTTTACCGGATAAATTACATTTAAAATATGTCAACAAGGGGAACTCTGTACCTTTTTGACAAGAATCACAGTTTATCATTTCAAACATTGAAATAACTTCAGTCCTGAAACAGGATGGCGCCATTTACAAACAGACGAAATTAAAATAAAACTATATTTTAAAGTCGAATTGATTACTAAGGCTTGACCCTCAAACAAAACCTCGAGATAAAGAAATCGGAGTAGAATATCAGAGCGGAGAGGCTAGCTAGCGTGTTGGTGCGGGTACCCGCTACGCTCCAATATGTTTTAATACACCTATGTATATGTATGATTTTAAAACCCGCTTAGCTAAGCTCTAGCGTCACCATTCCACGATGTTTTTTTTTCTACCCTAAGACAGAAAATTTATTATAGGCGACAAAAATTATTGTTGAAATTGCTCAGCCATAGAAATGTTTTGCTTTTTGACAATTTTTTCAGTGTGCAGACCAGACAAAACTTATTGGAATTGTTGTTGTTATTGATTGAAAAAAAAATATTAGCCAATTTAAATTGTAGACAGTGATCCGTAATTTGGTTTTAAGCAACATCAGTGAAACGGGAAGCATCGAGCAAACTTGTGCGCATAAAATTGAAATTAGGTTTTGTGTTTAAAGACCAATGTAGGCTATATACAGTAGATATTTGAATTGTATTTTTTTAATTTAGCAATTTGTCAATATTTTCTCTAAATGTTTTTCAAACTTCAACACTGAGATTTTTTATAAAGATACGTATGAATATTATTTTCTTCATAAGTCATGTAGGCTATATGATACTTCCTGGATTAATATCTTCAGCAAGAAAAAAGGCACTTATTATCCTTAATCTAAAGGACTTGATATTTTTGTATCTGACCCATTAATAGTGCAATACTTCATCTTGTTCAAATAATTTAATAGTTTGTGAACTAACCTCTTTTTTAAGTTTTTTTTTTAAGTGAGCTTTTATTGAAAAAAAGCAATTACATGTGGAAATAATAAAAAAAAACTCATGAAGTACGTTCAAAAATATGTATCGTCTAATGAACTAAACCAGGGGTCTCCAGCCTCTTTTTTTAGAGGGAAGGCGGGCCAGTCTCTTTAGTTTAGTGCAGAAAGTGTAACCCCCTCCCCACGCAACATAATCCCACAAAGTCACTGCCCAAAAATCCAGACACTAAGTAAAACATCGATCACACAAACATTTTCTTTATTTATACTATAAAATTTACTTTTAAGAACATTTAACTGTACTGTAATGGCGATAAGACTAGTTCTCAGTAAAGGAGTTTACAACAATATTATTGTAAAGCGTAAGAAGAACAATTATTTTTTAGTGAGAATGTAGTATATAGCATTTGCCACTTAAAATGTTATCTCATTTAGGGTTGTAATGCAATTTGTTGCAGTTCTGATAATTAGGATTGATTTCTAACGTCAATCTAACTAAGCAGATTCTAAATTCGGTAGCCAGCCGACTTGGACACAGGGAATTTTACATCAAATTTATGGGCCGAGAGTTCCATCAATATCCTATAGCCGAGCCTCCATTCATTCACGGCGTTCCATTTTAAAGCGTTCACCGGTGACGAGTGTTGCCACAATCGCAGGTTATGTTATCGCTGAGGCCGCAAGATATGGTGACGAGAGGTACCGCGATTGTGGGAGATGAGTGCCAAGACTGCCAGAACACCGGCATTCTAAGAGAGATTATCAAAGATTGTAAGAGAGGATTATCAATGTTAAGTATCAAAATGTTTTTTTTCACTAGCCTATGCCGGCTGGATAAATTCTGATCGCGGGCCTGATGTGGCTCGCAAGCCGTAGGTTGGAGACCCCTGAACTAAAAAGGAAATATTTTGATTGTAAAAACAAAATGCAAATATATCTAAGAGTCATTTTGAAAAAAAAATGTTTTAAACAAAACAATAGTTTATAATGGGAAACAGATTCAATTTATAAAAATAATGATCCAAATACTAGAAAACCAAATCAAGTAAAGATGATAAATATACAAATTTGATTAAACCTATTTGGGATTCTAAAGGAAAAATTGATGGAATTATTCAACGTTATCACACTCATGTGAAAGACATTTTTCATATTTACAAAATTGTATTCTGGTTAGTAATAAAAAAGCAATGACAGAAAGCATTCAACATTTCTTTGTTCAAGTCCACTTCCAAGAAAACAGTTGATTATAGTATGAAGTAGAGCACATTCAGGCACAAATGAAAACCAAAGCCCCCGGTTTCTAGCCTAAGTATCATCACAGAATACTGTGGCAACTTCATGCATATCAAATATCACTTTAACATTTCTCTACACAACCTCTACGACTACTTGACCATCAAAAAGCACCCAATATCTGCTTTTAATATAAAATAATGAAAATAAAATATTTTCAGGATGATGTTCCTGGAAAGTGATTCGTTTCACAAGTGAAAATTTGTATTCTTAATGTAGCTGCAACTACTACTATTGAACCTTTTATCAAATACAAAAATGATTATAGGTAGAATTTGAATTTTAAATTGGTGTTATATGAATAACTATTTATGAAATTTGCAGTCTTTATTAGAATAAATTTTGTTTGTATTCATTTAACTATTTTATTATCATTAATGTTCTTTTTAAAGGCAAAAATGTAATCTTAAAGTAATGGTGGTTGAATGTACTAATTCTAACAAGCAGCAATTGCACAATTGCACACATAGATATTGATGAAATATTCAACAAGTTTGTGTGATCTAACTGGACAGTAACCAGCTCTACAACTATGCTCCAACCTGTAAAAGAAGCTGTGAGTTATTGGTTGACACTACAGTTCTAGTACATGCCATGCAAGTGCCTAAGTCTAGTTATCACCCTTCAATACGACCACCCCACATTTCTTGTATGAAAATTGATCGTATAAATTGGCAACACTTTGGATATTGGAAAACATTCTGAAAGCAAACCATCAGGTAACTTCAAGTCATGCTTAATGAAACGTTTTAAAATTTGTGCATTTTACTTCAAACCTGTTTAAGCAACGTGGACCATGCTTGAGAGCCCCTACTTCTGAAAGTAAATTCAAAAATTTTCATGTTGATGACTTTTAACTTTTGGATCTTTTTAATCCTGTTTATCTGACAAGAATTACATTTCTAGGGTGAGATCACAGGATATAAAAGTGATTTTACAAAACACTAATTGTAGAATTAAAAATTGCCAATGTTGCTGTAATCGAGCATTAGACCAACAATATGAAAAAGATTTTGCTGATTCAAAAGGCTGATTGAATTAAGCTGCTTATTCACGGTTTTGTTTTTAACAATTGAGTGGGTAACCTTTTGAATATAACTAATCCAAAAACAAACGGATTACAACAGAGGATTTTCTTCTGAATCAACTAAAATCAACAAATTTGAATGTATCAAACATAAGGGGCTCTCCTTGAATTCTATTCTGGTTTAACACAACAAAAGAAGTTAAGGAAGTTTGAGTAGAAAGTAATGTTAGTAAACAAAATAAACAGGTGTTAGATAAGGGGATGTGGAGTGATCGCAAATCCTGGCACACGGGGCAAACGTCACAAACTGCGGAGATTACCTCTGCTGCTGGGGCTGCCGCCTGAAACACAACATACATTCTACCTTCGATATAGATCGGACATCACTGTACATCCAGTGGTGTCACAATCTCCTACCGACAGATAATTTAGTTGTGTCACAAAAAACTCATAATGTTTAACTATTATGCACATTTTTACTACAGTGTGTAGTCATAACATAATGTAGTCCATTTGAGTTCCTTGTAAATTGAAAATAAATTATTAACCACATGATAAAAATGTCAACAAACGATGTAGTTTGTACAACTTGGTAAACAATGTAACGGTATTAAGAAGATTTTTCTTTATCTCGGAAGTATGTTAGGAATACTAAAACAGAGGTTTGCACTACACCACTCCTGATATAATCGTACACAGTTGTGTTCTTTCTACATCAGCTTTTGAATGATTAATGAAAGTCATAGTTGACTATACAACAAGTGCGGTATTCAATGAAACCAACCACTGAGTTGAGGTAAGGCCCAAGATAGGATTTGTGACATCAACTGAGAGTTTTACATATATTTATTTTCTATTTCTATATAAGTGTAAATGAAGGAGTTGTGGGGGATATGGATTATCAAATTACAGTGTTATTGAACTGAACAAAGTCCAATTGAAAAAGTTTAGATTTTGGGCAAAGGTAGAGTATTTTACATTCTACTTCAGTGCTAAAAATCCTACAATCAAGCCTACTGATTACAAACAAGTATTTTTAAATACTCAAATTAAATTAAGTTGTCTTCGCACAATATTAAAGATTCTGGAAAAAATACTCTGTATTCAGTTTGGAAAAACAATTTTCTAATTTTTTATATCCAATAAATATATTAATTATTGGTAGTCTCATGATTTGTTTAAAAGAACTGTAATCAACAATCAGATTAAAATGTTGAGCTTATATTTAAAGAGTTATCCAGCAAGTTGATCTACAAACCTGTAGTCTGTAGTTGGGATCAGCCGAAGCTGCGTGAGCGGCCAGGAATGGATCGTAGTACATCCCGCTGTAAACAGACAAACCAGTTACAATACAATGCTACAAACTCCTGTTTATACCTTATCTGGTACCTGGTATATGGCATCATGTTGGCGACAAGGCTTGATGTATAATGCACTGGTCTCCAAACGTTTTACCTCAAGAGCCACATTGCATATCAGTTTAGAGCAGAAAGTTTACCCTCCGCAGCATAAACCCAGTCTCTAACAAAAATACCAAGTAAGCCTAATATAACACAGGATGACACAAACCTTTTCTATACTACAATGAAATTTACTTGAAGAACTTATAATTGTAATATTTAGTAATACCGCAATTTATGGCAACGAGTGTTACTGTGATCAATCTTGGGAAACGATCACAGTATCGCTGAGACCGCAAGATTTTAATGAGTATTGTAGGGATTGTGGGAAACGATCACAGTATTGCCAATACAGCTGAAACACAGGTGTTTATTCGATCGCGAGTGAAGTTTATCGATGTTGACTATTAAAAAGATTTTGTCATTAGCATATGTTGCATTTCTGTGAGCTGGAAAAATCTGCTCATGTTTTTTCGGCCCGCAGGCTTGGAGACCCCTGGTATAATGAATAGAGAAAACTTTGTCAAGGTAAATAGAATTTTGACAAAATTAAGTCTGTATGATGTTAAAATATTACCGACCTGTGCCTTTTCTATTGTTTGAAATTAATCTATTGGCCATACAGAAAAATTTAAGCCTACAGAGGTTTATCATTTACCATTAATTATACCAAATTGAGCTTATACTTTAACTGGAGTATGTAGTTTTCACCTTGTGCAAAAAAAAACACAAAATTTTAAAACAGAAAATGCTTCCTGGTACTACACCAATACGTTTTGAGAAATTGGAATATTAAAAAGGCAAATCATTATGTTTTCAAATAAAAATATAATTTAAAAAACAGCTAGCTTGGTTTTTTGTCCTTTAAATAAAAACCCCTTTTAAAAAGAATCTCTAACAATTCACAGAGTACATTGGAATCAACTATGTTTTTACTTCAAGAATAAGTTCCAAAATGTCAAAAGGTAAAAACACTGTTTAAGCCACTAAATTACACTTATAAAATGTTTAACACTCAAATGACTCAAATTATACAATTGGGCTTATTTTATGGGTTAAGTTATAAAATTAAAAAAAACATTATTCTAATCATAGGCTTAAGATACTGAAATGGTGAGAGGGTTTTAGAAACAAATAGTTCAGGTAAAAAAAGACCTGTTAATAATTTTGCAAAGTAATGCAGAATACTGTTCTCCATAAATACATTAAATATTTACTTTAATAATTGATTTTCTGTAGAAAAATTGAAAGGGCAATTTATTAAACAAAATGTATTGAACATCAAGTTAAGTATCAGAAATGGTCATATGTTTATCACAAATAATAAACAAGGATCTCTGAGCTGAATTCATACTATGAGCATACTAATGATATTCCCATAAATAGGATAAATTAATTGTAACAGTTATTATAATTCAGTTTTACAAATGAAACATGAAATATAATTACAGATAATCATTGGAATTTTGAAATCCATTGTTATTAAAATAATTCTTTATAAATATTAGAGAAAAGAACAGCCCTAGTCGGGGACGTGGTAACATTAGTTTCTAACACATAAATGCAGCAATTAGAACAAAAATAAACCATGTTGGAAGCCATTCAAGGTAGCACAATAAACTAAAACATTAATTGTTGAGTGCTGGTTAATTCAAGCATGTGCAACGTTCATGCCTTCTCATGCACAGCCAAATGGAATTCTTACCTTGTCAAAACAAAGCATTTACAACATAGAACCAGTCCCTCTTAGAAACGTTAAAACGATTACGTTAGCAACAAGTTTTCTTCCTTAATTGAATTTGGAGCCTTTTTTAACATGAATTTTTAATGGTTTTAAATTTGTTTGATGAGTTTACATTTTTAAGCCATAAGTAATATGTACGTTTCATAGATTTATGTTTGAAACCCTAACATCTATTTTCATACAAGCTGGCTAATAAATAAAAACAATAATGTGATTGTAAATATAGGACCACAATGCAAAAATGTGGCTGCAAAAATAATAGTTATAGAGAATAATACAGAGATGGAGAAGAAAACCTATTATACTACACAAGGACAACCCTGCAGCTATATACTCCTATACTTAAAAAGGGCACGATGTATTTTAAAAATATTTTTTTAAAAAATAATCACAATCTATTTATTTTCCCTTCTTCTTCCAAAAACCCTCTATGAGCGTGTTTTTTCTGCTTATGTAATGACACTTCTGTTTACTTTTTCTTTTAAGCAATAAGTATAAACTTGTAATGCAAAAAGCTGAAAAAAAAAATTAATTATTTAATAAAATATGCATTAAAATATGTAAGATAAAACACATAAAGATATCTAAAAGTGGAAAGTAGAATCATTGGTACAATATTACCTAGAAAGTCACTTTTTAGCGAATTTCCCTATAGGGAAGTAGCTATTACCGTAGGTCTCATGGTAAGACTTAGGCCCGGGACCGATTTACTTTTTCATTTTGATGTCCCCAGAGGCCAAAAACACCATTCGTTCAAATTTTTATATATGTATATATATATAGATATATATATATATATATATATATATAGATTTATATATATATGTGTCCGTGAACACGATAACTTGAGTAATTTTTATCCGATTTTGATGAAATTTGGTTTGAAGGTGTAAGGCGGGATAAACTTGAATGAGTTCGCGATCCAGCATGATCGGACCATGGGAACAGGATTTTATGGGGGGTTTTATGGGGTAAAAATTGGTTTTTCTTACTTTTGACCCTCAAAACACAAAATTTTCCAATTTTTCTCTAAACCTTCTTAAAGAGCTTAAAAAAACAAACAATTCAGTATATCAAAGTGTTTTTGTACGGTTATTAATTACGGAGAAAACAAAAAAAATTTAAATTTAAAATTCCCATGTTATCCTTATGGAGAATATTGTAAAATGTTGTAGTTTGCTTGTTTATGGATATCTTTTGATCAAACTTGGCAAATATATTCATTTTATACTAAGCAATAATTATTTTACTTAAAACACACTATTTATTAGTTTCCTTGTAGCAGCAAACCTAGGTACTCGTTAAACCTAATGTTATTTAAATAGACCAATTGAAAATCAATTCAGCCAAATGGAAATTCGCTTAGACGGCAGGTTTGCTGCGGCGGGGGTATTTTTTATATATGCTGTTTTGGTTTACTGTACTAGTTTTAAATTGCCAGCTGTTATCAAATGTTAATATTTGTATTAGGATGCTTATTAATAATTCAAACACATGTTTATTTATTTTAATAAGAAAATGTAAACAAAAGTTAGTTAGGGTGTTGTGTGTTGTCTTTTGACCAAAGAAGATAAATAAGTTCAAATAAAACCCATACTTTTCTAACAAATAAATTTACTTCCACCAATGCCAACACGTTGGGCGCCACAATGTTACGAATAAACTGACAAAAAATTAGTAGTCAGTGAAAGTAGGTAATTACATTATTTTTTGAACTATTTTAACATCTTCTTTGGTCAAAAGACAAAACACAACACCCTAACAAACTTTTGTTTAAATTTTCTTATTAAAATGAATAAACATGCGTTTTAATTATTAATAAGCATTCTATAAATATTTATATAAACATTTGATAACAGCTGGCAATTTAAAACCAGTACGGCAAACCAACACAGCATAATATGCTAAAAGAATTATTATAGTACTTGATAAGAATGGTGTTATATATTATATAACACAGCTGTACTTCAAAACGGATTGTTAACTTTTTATTCACAATTGACATTAATGTCCTCTTTTATAACACATTTTGATTACTGTAGCCTGGAAAGTTTATTACAATAGTATATTATATCCATTTGATAAATTAGATAGGTTTCCTAATCGCTATATATTCTATTATGGCCCCATTAATGTTTAATACATACCACAAACCTGTTTATTATTTTATGACAAAGAATCTTTGAGCTTTGTGCAGTGGAAAAGTCACAAGTATATAATTAAGTTCTACTTCCACTCTTTCTCAAAACAACAGAAAAAATAAATTTACAAATAATTACCTACAGAGAAACAAAACTACCTATATTTTTAAAGTATGATAATATAAACGTAAAAGCTGTATTTTGTGAAGTATAATGACAAAGTATTATCTCTAACTAATGGCTCATTATAGGCTACCGGTACATGTATTTGGTCTGAAAAAAATAGTTGAAAGGTCTTTCTTATATTTACTCCAAATGAAACAAAAGAGGCAGATAACTTACCAGTAGAACAATTTTTTTATTTAAAATTAATAATAAAGCTAATTATTGAGACCATAACTTGAACATTTCTACTCTTAGAATGTTTAGCAGGTTACAAATAAAATGTAATAATCATTGACTCAAAATAATCTTTTGGAACTCGTTTTGAGATTTTATAATCAAATACTTAAATTTGAAAGCAAACAACCTTTAGTCAAGAGAATTGGGTGAAAATATATAACGTGCCTTTCAAGGAGCGTCTAAAAACAGATTTATACATAAAATTGACCTCCAAAGAAAGCTGTGTCAGTCTGGTCACATGAGATGTGTTAGTGTGTTGGATACTCACGGTGTGTATCCGTGCAGCGCGGTGGCAGCCGTGAGCGGTGACGGATGACGAGCGAAGGCCGCCGCAGCAGCTGCCGCAGCCGGGAATGCAGCAGCTCCAGCACGCGCTCGGCCTCTCTGTATGGCGACTCCCCGCAACGCAGCTGCTGTGACACAACATGCATCCACTCCAAACCGCATCCAATATGTACACATAACCTAGCGTTCTGAGATGTACCCATGTCTTGCCTTGTACCTCACAATACTTCTAGCGTGGTTCTGTTTCACCCAAATAACCAGTTACATAGGCCAACACGGATTGAAGTATTTCACCTTAAAATATATTGCTGGATCTTAACTTGATGTAGGTTGTAAAGTGGAAAATCATATCACACAACCGTTATTATTCTAAGAGTTAGAATGTTTTTTACCTAAAGGTACCACTTACTGAGTTCGTAAAATTAAAATAAAACATCAGAAGCTTGGGAAACCAAAAACTTATTTCACAACTGACATATTGTCCTTGTTATCAAAACTTTTTGTCCTCGTAAATCTCAATAAAATTTAAAAATTAAGATATATGTTTCAAAGTATTTTAAAAGAACTTAACACCTTCGTTTAAACATACATTTTCACTGAACATACATTCTTTATGACATAAATGGTAGTTAAGTTAAAAATATTAAAAATATTTAATTGGAGTTACTCTAATGTTTGGTTGACATTAAAATAAATTTTAAGAGGGTTGTGGCTGTAAATAATAAGTTTTTGTTAAATATGGAAGAACAGAATTATATAAGTTAGTATTGTTGGGGGTTTAATTTTTTACAAAAAAATACAAATATAAATTTGCATAAATATTTGGAACTGTAGATGGATTTATGTATGTATGAAAAATATCATCCTGCCGAATAAATTAAAATATAGGATAGTAGTACACATTAGGGAGTTTTTTATTTCAATCTGAGTACAAAATAAGATCATATATTTTTTTTTTATTTGTAATTATTGTTTAACATGTTCAGTATAGCTATTGTTTGTAAAAAAATCCAAATTAAAGGCTTGTATTTTGATTGAAAACTGAATGTCATATAAGCTAATAATTTATATCAAATATGTCCATTTAAAAAATGAAACAATAAGTTTATAAAAACATATTTTTTATTATGATTTAAATGTATAAAAGAATAAACTTTAAGAACCAATTGTAGGAAAAAAGTAATGAAACATTTTTAGAATGGTTTTCCATTTTAGGAAGCATGCAAGACTAAAAATCATCAAACACAAACTGGAAAATATCGACATGAAAATAAGACATTAATTTAATACAAAAAGTGGTATCGACACAAAATATGCAATCAATCAAGTCAATCCATTATTCAGGCAGGAGCCTAAATGTTACTAACCACATTGCACAACGGAAGCGTAAGACCCCGCTAACCATTAGTACAAAATGCAATCAATGAGAGCTCCAGGTAACTACAAAACACCATCTAGTATTTCAGATTTGTGAACCTCAACTTCATACAAATATGCTACAGGATAAAAACGTTGGATTATTTTACGGCAGTAGACCTTTAAATTTGAGGTTGATTTATCGATAAAAATGTTCATACCAAGGAAATTGTATAAGATGATGAAATCCACTATTGCAGATAAAATTACTTAGTATAGAATTTAGCCTTTAAAATAATTATAAAGACAATAATTTTCCAGGTTGACTTTTTACACAAAATAAAACACGAATTACACAAAATAAACAACGCAAATGAATATTGAAAGTGAAACAGTTGTCAAGATCAATAATGAAGGTACAAGCAATGCTACGGTCTGGTAGAAATTCTCTGAACTAACTCTTACTGGCCTTAGCACAGTATGTCCTTCTTCATAGTCTACCTTGTTTTGGAAATCTCGGGCAACAAACACACTTTTTCTCGAATTGACTCAAAGCTAAAACTGGTTACTAACTAAAATTACAAATTAACAAAAATTTATTGTTTGGCATCACACTTTCAAATTACCATTTGATATACAAATTTTAAACAGTTAATCAAATTAAATTTTAATTTTGTAAACTTTAAAGGAAAAAGATGTTTTAAAAATATTATTAAAGTACTTGCTTTACAGAAATAACAAATAAGTTGTTGTCTCTTAGTTTGCGGTACATAATATATTTATCCTTAACCATACGTTGAGTTACATTGAAAGGGAGGAATTCCAGTGAGTGTTGTTGTTAATATGATATGAGCTCTCACAGGGTTGGTGACTAGGTGTGTGTACTGAGCAGAAATGAATTTTACGTAACCCTTTGCGAGGAGGGGAAGATTTCTCAGAGCGAGGAGCGAATAGATGTAAGTCTACAATCTGCCAACAACCATGCAAGTAATGAAGAGACCTTAGTGTGTGCCCACCACCTTAGCACAGAGAGGAAGCGAAACAACAAAGTCTCGTTCGGTCCAGAACCTAACAACAGTGCAGTGAATGTGAACTCGACTACACTGCCACATTTACCGGCAGTTCTGTGCTGCACTCTAACAGCAGTGAAGTACAGTTACAGTTACGTAGTCTGCTCCTAAACACAGTACCCTTGCATTCTATATACAGAACTTATTCCATGCAATCAATGCGGCCATGCAAATCGTTCTCGCAAAGGGTCGAGTCAGAATGGATCAAACGAGAAGTGAGATTTTGTGTTGTATTTGACGATTAAATAATCCGCAAGGGAATGTTTTTCCAAAGGATCATTAGAATCCTGCGGTTTGAAATTCTGATATATACAAACAAGTGACGTCGAAATGATGAATGTACACTGAAATCACCATAGTCCATAACACACATAACATAGTTATTACTGGAAGCAAAGAGTCTCAAGTATAGAGCAACTAATTTCTCGTCGTGCCAGGCAGGTGACAGGCCAAACAACAAACATAACAAGTGAGTACCTGCGTCTTCGAGTTACGGCGTGATTCAGTCCTGCTAGCCACCATCTGTAGCCTAACAACATCATCAAACATCTCATCTCTCAACCTTTCAATAATATCATCATCATCATCATCATATCTGCAAACTACAACAACAGTAAGTACCGTAATACACGTAACACTGCTTCATCAGATGAGTGTTTCCATTGTTATGAAACTAAACAATGGAAGGTAAGAGAAAAGAGTTTTTTGGAAAAAGTGTAAATAAGCATACTAATGAATTTTTTAGCTTAAAATTACAAACAATTTTAATTCTTTTAAATGTGGGGATGTTAAATGTCCAAGAAATCTTAAATTTTCATTAATAATGTTCAGTATTTTATAATAAATATAAAAAAGTCATTTTGTAAGAACAATCTGAACACTTATTTTTAAAGTTTTTCCAGAATATGTTTTATTAATACATGTTCTTAATTTTGCAGAAATATTTTGTTCACAATTTTTAAAATCTGATCATGTTTAAAATTGCTTAGGGCCTATATATGTTTAATGCTAAATATTAAGTAAAAGTAAAATCACTTTACGATAAGTAAAAGAAAGTGATAAATTATTAGAATAGAGTTGTTAGCTGAGCAACATCATTAATTGTTTGTTGTTACATTTTATAACAACTTTTTGGGAACCAAACAAATAAATAAATAAATAGGACATGTACTGTATAATATTTAAGACAATTTCAAAATAATTTAACTGTTAAAATATTATTATTTTCCAGTATAAGGCAGCTGGGTATTATAACTTAAAAGACATAATTCCATTGTAAGTTCCATCCACAGGAAATACTCACTTGAAACTGCAATGTTTACTTCTATAATAATACTTAATAACATAAGAATGGATGAATATTACAGCATAATTTGTCATAATAGTAGACTTGTATATCAATGCAACTATATTCAATTTGATGATATCCCCCATCCTTTGACCCAAAGGTTTGGCAAGTAACATGAAAATGAGAGCATTACAAGGTCCAATACATAATCAACTAACCAACTCTCAGTTAAAAATCAATCATAAAAAATTATAATTGTGATGTGTAGAAAATCATACAAACTTTGTGTGACAAATTCACACTGTTTTCAACACTAAAATTTAAGCCTAAAACTTAGTTAATTAACATGGTTAGGCCTAACATAATTATAAAACTAATGAACCACGTTTCCCTATTACTATGCTCTGTCCGTTGTGTTGATAGAATCATGTTTTGGGTTTAAATAGTTGGTGTGAAACAAATTATTGATTTTGTACGAAATAGAAAACTACTCTTGAAACTTAGAAGCCATCAACAACGCATTATATTGACACCTAGTACCAGAAGTGTGCCTATAAAAAACCTAAGGTACCTATTTGAATAGAGCTTGGCAAAATCCTAATGTAAACATGCTTAAAATAAAAAAAAATTTTAATACTAAGTAACATCCTTCTAAGTAATACTGTATATTTTTAAAACCACTAACCTAAATAAAAATATCACTAAATTTATAAAGGGAGTAATACTGTAGATTTAAAGAGCTCTTTATCCATAGAAACATATTCAAACTTAAGATCCATCAAAACTATCAGGAACACACAATTTATCGTGTTGGTAAACTTTCAAATAAATGTTTGACATATTCTCTCACTGTAGTGCAACATTCAGAAGTAACGAGAGCAGTTTGAAATCACACTTAGAAAAAAACCACAAAAATTGAAAAAAAAAAAACTAACTAAAATACCAAACACCCCTTAGTTTTTGACCAAAATAAATCCTACGGTGAGTAAATGAAAACATACTTTCGAGTGCATATGGACTAAACCTGTGCTTTAAAAGATGAAATACTGTACGCTTATAACAACCAGTGAAACAAAATAGTCTATTATTAGCTGTGTTATTGGTGAAACTAGCATACATCTAACATAAGTTACATGGCGTAGATACGTATATACAGACAGCAAGACAGTACATGGCTAAACCTCAGAACCTGTCACCACATGCATAAGCTAGACAGTAGGACAAGTACAGTACACACTTAGATGTATTTCACCTGTTTTTCATCCGGGTTTTCAATCACAACTACTTATAACTAATTACCTGCGAGTGCTGGTCTCAATTGAAGATTTTAAACCAAGGTAATTGTAAAAATATGTGCAATATTATCGGTGATATAGGCAAAGTAGTTAGTACCATGTTGTATGCCAAAGCCTCAGTCATAACTAATATTATCAGTCAGAACTAATGCTTTGCCAAAGAACACTTCATTATTAAATATGTTATGGCAAAGAAAACAATTGTCTGACAATTGTCTGACAATTTGATCTGACAAAAGGATCCCTTAATCATGATAAATTATTGGGAAGACAAATGCATGTAATACACAATACATAGGCTAATTCAACTAAATTCACAATCCTAGAGGTTAAATCAATAAACTCACAAAGTTATTTTACCTATATGCCTACATGATATATGCCATCCAAATTACCTAAATCACATATCAGGGTTTAGTGAAGGCTTTTACTCCTATTTTTAAGTTGTGATAGTTTTAATACACATAAATTTAACAACTAAAAAGATCCTCGTTGCAATATTGGCAGTAATATCACACCTGGGATGAAAAACAGAGGCAACTCATTCAGAAAATCATAAGCTACTGTAGCAGTAAATCTTTTAAAATAAATAAAAAAACCTCTACAGCACCACAACCATAACTTGATAAGTCATGGTAGAAAAGAAATTGCTAGTACTTGAATATTGTTTGATGCAATTAATGCCAATGTAAAACCCACAAGCAAGTATCACCATCTATTTTCATATTCAAGATTAACGAGAACTGACACAGGCTGAAATGGCCGTGAAAGCGAGTGAATTCAATTTCAAGTCAAACGGACATTGAAAGCTTGCATGCATTCAATTCCAAATAGATTCAAATTAATTATATACATGTTTCAAACTAAACTATTCCAAATCAGTAGTGAGATTATTTCAAATGATTTAAATTTATGTTTACAGTTAACCATGCACAGCATCAGGCAGCCAACCTTAGTACCTCCAAAACTACTGTTATTGTATCATGTTCCAATCATCGCAGGCTGCTCTTTTCATTTATTTTGAGATTTTAAAACTTAAACTGAAAATCCAAGATAATTACAGGTGTCAAACATTATGAATGTAGCACTTATGAAATATTTGGACCAACACCTTAAATAATTTTTCAATCTATGTTTAAAATAATGCGTCCAAAAATTCATCTCAAAAATTCAACTTTTGATAGGAAAAAGCGAACATTATAAACTATTGTCATAAAATCTTCAAACCAATAGAAAACTTACAAGGCCCGAAGACAAAGTATATTTTTTCAATATGACTCATGATTGTGCATTATTACATTCATACAGTATTATTGCATGCTTTTTGCAAGTTAGGAAGATTACCTAAATATATTTACTTATCAGGTTATAGAATGATAATACTCAAAATAATTTTGCAACACACAAAAAAATGTAATTCATTCTAATTAAGCAAGAGTTATATTTTTAAGATGGACATTCTGTAGACCAGGCCATGCGGACTGATCATCGTTGATATTATGTAAAAATACAAGACTACAGTAAAACCTCACTAACTCTTCAACCAACAGCTGACAGGGCAGGGCCCACGTCTAGGTGGCTTTGTCTTACTATTGTGTTTGACTTTTCAAGTTTTAATTGTTGAATATTAAACATTTCTTTGAAGATAGTTTACTCAACATGTAAAAATACTCATATAAATAAATAAAAATTAACTGGAGTCAGATTTTAGTTTCAAAGTAAATTATAGTCCTTAAAAACTAAGTTTAGTTTGAAAATAACTAAATATGCATACTGGTATCGAGGGCGAGGGGTGGCAGGGCAAGGTCTAGTCTTCCTTCTGGCCATTGGACGGCACAAACTGGAACATAGAAAAATATAAAATGTTATTGTGGTTCAGCATTGGGACACAAGCTACATGTTGTGCATGGAAGTACTCAAAACAGTTGAAAATCAAAGGACAAAAACTTCACTGACTTACAAAATATTCTACAAAGCTACAGAAGTCATGCTGTGGTGCACAAGAGCAATCAAACTATGAACAAAAACAACAACCTACAACGAGAAATGTGTAGCAGTAAATAAAAAAACAGTATTATATGCACTAGTTCAATAATTTAATTTTAAGGGAAACAGTATGAATCCTCTCTCTAAACATTTTATTTAGAGGTATTACATTTTTTTATTTATAATTACCTATGCTGGCGTCCAATATTTGTTTAATGAAACAAGCGCATGATGAAAGGAATAGAGAAGAAGATTTAAAGCTCCCTGTAGGCATTTTGTTTTTACAACAAATCTCAATATCAAGCGACTAAGCCGTGTATTAAACAAGTGTACCCCTCAGATGCATTGGTTTAAAAATAACAATTTATTTACATTAAATTTAAAAATAAAGAATTAAACACCTAAAATTGCAATGCAAATACACTTATATTTGAATAAGTAAAAGAAAAGGAACACAGCAGCAGCTATTTGAGGATATAACTGAAAGGCAGGTTTGTTTTAAAGAATGTATTTCAGGATGGCTTTGACCAGTCTCTAGTATTTATATAAAATCTGTTTTGTAAACAAAATATAAGCAATAACTGAGGATGAAAGAGAAAAATTTTTGGATTCTGTAATAAATAAAAATATTCTATTATCTTCTAATTGACACATAAAAAGCAGTGAAGGATAGATCAAATGTAGAATAACAACAATGAACAATAGGAGAACGGAAATCAGTTCTCACCAAGATTGGGCATGGTTCCGTTCCTAGTCAGAAATACTAAAATAAAACAAAAATGTGTAACAATAAAGGAAGAATTAAGTATAAAATGCTTGAGTTTACACAAATCCCAATTGCAAAAATTGTTGAAATTTTGTTGACATCAACAAGACAATTTACTCACAAGCGCACTGTTTTAAAACGGTCGATGTATAAAATATAATATATATACATTTAAAACTAGAATTAAATAATGATATGGAGTGAATAATTAAATATATGATATCATAAAAATAATCACACTTTTAAGTAATGAATAAAAAAAAAACAAGCTCAACAAATTATTTCTGAATTAGTATGCATAGTATAAGCAAGCAACAAAAAAATTATCCCTTTCTCATTTCCCCTTCAACTAAGAAACAAAGGATAAAACAATTTCCTCTTGTATAAAATAAAAATAGAACTGTGTGCCTTTTTCATAGACAGAAAAGCTCTTGCAAATTTTCTACTCAATCAAAAATGTTAAGTAGGCATAATCTATTAAAAACTAGGGAAACTGACAAAACCATGCAACACTACACTTCCAACTAACATAGAAAACAAATTATAAAGTGTAAATACTAAGTACACACACAATTTGACTCATTTATCTAAAATAATAAAAATTTAACATTTAGCGTGGGAATTGAACCATATTGAATATTTATAAAGTCAAAAATCAAATCAATTATAAATTCATATGGGTTTGATATAATCAAAGAGGGTGTGGTAAGTTAAAAAAAAAAAAAAAAACTAAATAATTATACTGTAATATACAACTGTATATGATACGATGCAGTGCATGCAGAGCTGAACTCATATTTGCAATCTGTAAAAGGCAGTTAGTTATACCTTTGAATAATTAGAAGAATAGTAAAATTTTGTGTTTTAAAGATTAGAAACATAGGCAAACAAATATAATACAACCACAGAGACATATAATAACACAATTCCATTTATATTATAAGACATTTATATGAAGAAGAAAATAACTAATACTCACCATTAGACAAAGCTGGTGGCTTTTTTGTCTGAACTCTGGCAGTGGCGTTATTCACCTGTATTAGGAAAATAAACAACTTTAGAAATCATCACTTAACTATCTACGATCCTAACAAACCATTAAAACTATTGAATCACATTGTCAACAAATGCAATGTTACAATTGTTAATTTGTACTGTCGTTGTTTAGCCTCAAGAGCTTTAAAAACAAATGATTCTTTTCAATTATCATAATGTAAAATAGCTAATACTTTACATTTACTTCAACTATTTTGATTTCATCAATTTATATTGTATTTAATATTTATTACATGATTCAATATACTCGTAGTAGGTATTCAAAAGGTTACTATAAAAATTAAAGTATTCCAAAATTATTTTATGGATTTACATTGTTCTTATAAAAAAATAAAAAGTACACTAAACAAAAAATGATTGATTTTTATTGTAGCCTGTTACAAATTACAGTTTCTTGACAACCATACATTTACACTAAACTTGAAGAAAAAACTGTCAGGAAAGAGTAACTTGAGGAAAACTGTCTAGCAAGTTTTCTTGGTTTTTTACATAATTGGATTCCTCTATTAATTTTATTTTTAATACTAATTATTACTGTATAAGTATAAGATAAAAACTAACTAACTATAAGGGGCAAAAATTACTTAAATTTATATAGTTTTGATTAATATGTTAGAAAAAAAACAAATAAGTTGAATCTGTTCAATTTAAAACAATAGCTGTGCACTGCATCAAAATTATCTTTGAAAATGCAGTCTAATGAAGGAGCACTAGGCCAGGATCCAATTAACAGACATTGTACTTCACTGAGCAACACTAGATCATCATTATTGTCAGAACTAGCCTAATTAGTTGGACTCTACTATGTCATTTAATACAATTGTAACATACTGATTTAATTGGAAATGACAATTTGGTCTATAATGAGTTCAAACAAATATATTATTATACTTATTTTGTTACATATCTTATATTTTATAGTACAGTGCACAGCTTGATTGTAGAAAGCCCCAAAAATGTAATAATAATAAAAGCTAAATGAGATAACCATTGTATTGTGTCACTAGAATTTTGATCTTCTTGCACCCACTTTTGTTGATGTGTGACTGAATACATTGGCCATCTCATGTGTAGTTACAGCTACAGAGGGGAAGCGGAGGCGGAGGTGAAAGGTGGAGGAGAGAATGACAAAACGCTACTTACCTCGGGAACCCCAGCCCTCGGGAATACACCTCGGAGTCGGCATTACGAGCTAAGAGGACCACAATGATTAATATCATTGCTGTATCGGCAGCAAAGTAATGTCAAACGAAAATTCTATTCCATGTCCCATAATTTTATTTCCAGAAACGGTTAAAAACACCCAAAAAGAATACAGCGGGCAAGGCAGGGTAAGAAAAACACAACACTCGAGTGATGCGACAAAGAAACCGATGTATTCGGCTCCCAGAGATAAGTGAGAAAGAAAGAAAAACTATTACTGATTTTTAGAGGGTTCTAAACAAATCGATAGGAGGGAAAATATAAAAGAATTAACAAGCATCGAATGTACAAACAGATACGTAAAACTAAGATGAGAATCACTAGGAACACTCAAAATGCGCTAGCAGCTACGAGCGGCGAGCGAGCAAACGAGCGAACAACACATTCCAGCCCAGCCACCTATACCTCAAGGTTTGACATTGCTTTGCCGCCTCGCGACACTCACTGACCGAGCCCCGCGGTTAGTTCCGGTTAGTTCCCCGGTGTTCTGTCGGACAGTTTCACTAAAGTCTCAGTTACTGCGACACACGTAACTAACCATCACCAGTTATTGACGCCACGAGGCCGAGGAGTTGTGCGACAGGGCTCGGTAGTGAGAGACGCTGTGGGACAGAACAGGACGACTGGGAGGGTGAGGGATCTTAGAGTATCATGTTAAATAACGGTGCTACAAACGGATTGTATGTTGACGTTTCATGCACACCTCAATCTTTCTTCCCTCAACCACGGTGCCATGAAGTCTCTCTCGTGCCTGGTCCGCGTCTGCGCTATTTGCGAATGTTACAAAACCGAATCCCTGCATGCAAGACAGACAAAACATGCACTGTAAAAACTGTATGGTAAAAAAATATTATAGTTTATATCGGGCGTGGGGCATGGGCCAGCAACGTGCAACAAAGTCATTATATTCTTACATAGAGATTACACAGTTACTGTACACAGAATCTCCGTTGCATTCTTCAATCAATTGTATAAAAAGGGACAGGATTGTTGCTATACTAAGCTATAAAAACTTGACAGCAGGAAGTTTGAAAATTATATGTTGCCCAGTAAAAAAAAAAATAAAAAAAAATATTTTAGTTAAAGTAGTAAAAAAACTGGGTTTAGATAGTATTTACTACATTTACTACCCAATATTAATAAATCAAACACATATTTGTATATATATTTTTAAGAATATGGTCCCTACAGTAATTTTAATCAAATACAGTAAAATGGGCTAATTAAGCATAGTAACAATCCTGAAATAATATTAAAAACACAATCAAATTTCAGATTTCAAACAATCATTAAACAAAATTTATGATTCAACTTTTTAATCATCAAGATTCAAACATATTACTTGGCTAAATGTTTCATAACATGCATTTACAATATTCTAATGTCAAAGCCTAGGATCAAACAGTCATGGCACCATCTAGGATACGGGAAATTCTATGTACGTTTCCGTCACCGCAGTGGCCACCATGCCAGCCACAATACATGTCAAGATGGTAACAATAATAGAAGCTAATATTATAAAACAATACTACAATGAGGGTAGTATAAAGCTTCAGTTGGAAAAACTCTTAAAACTATATAGCAAATATTTCAAAGTGAAATCATAATTCTCAGACTGTGAAATCATTTAAAACTAAAAGAAATAAATTGTAGCTTTTACTCCATAAAACTTGAATACCATTTTTAGTTTCAGAAGAATTCCAACTGTCAATTTTTCCACCCTCGATCTTAGTTTTTCTTCACTAAGCTAAGCCGTGATATTGAAAGCCACAAGACTTTAAACGTTCTATTTACAATATGCCAGGTAACGCACAGAGACACTGCCCAGTTCTCTAAGTTCTCATGCTGTTGGAAATCTCAAGTCTCTCAATTTTAGTGAACAAAGAAAATAACTTTTATCGATCATGAATTTAAGGCTGTAAATCTAAATGAAATGGACAATGTTATATGTAAAAAAAAAAACAAATAAAAAACAGTACTAATACCAAATAATTAAGTTCTTTAAAATGAGATTCACTGTTTAGTTGGAAAGCTCAATGGACATAAATAAAAACATAACAAAATAATGAGAAAACATTATTAAACACAAGAATAAAGAACAAATATTGTTCATGATTGAATATATCAAACTGTTAATGATTTTAAAAATAAATGCCATTTTAGTAGTACTTTTTACTTAATTTTTTTCAGCTTATAGGACATTACTAATATTATCACCCAGAGAGAGAAACAGAATTGTATCCATATCTCAGAGGAGTATGGAAACAATAAAATAAATAAGTATTACACAGATGTAAACGAATATGGCACACATCTCTATTTATTTAAATATGTATTAATTCTTATTTGATTAATATGTTTACATTACATTATAATGTTTAAATTACATTTTACAAGGATAATAGGTAAGCTACTTGCATCCAAAAATTTGTGTGCTGATATACAAAAGATTTGTCAAGAATGCCAAGTAGCTGGACCTAGAATGAAATAGTTTGCCAATAAAACATGAAAGAGTGAGATGGAAATGTTTAGTTGATTACACCATGACAACACACAGCAGCGTTACACAAACTATAGGGTAGATAAGGCAACATTAGATACAACAAAGCAAAAACTAAGTGTGAAGCGTAGCAAGGTGTAACTGGGCAGTGTATGAGGAAGCTCTGATTGTTACTACTCCATGACTCACATTGTCTTTACAAATTATATAATTCATTCTTTTAATTTCACACTATAGGGTTAAAGTTTTTGGTCATTTTGGTTTATTTTATATTGTAGCCTAACTGTATTTACAAGGGTGGTCCGTGCATCAAGGTCTCTGTCAATCTGCTGTCCGCAACCAAACATAGTTCAAATCTAAAACCAACATCATATTCCTTACTTGATTGAGAACGATTCTGAACACGGTATCCAGTATTCTATCAAAATAAAATTAAAGTAAAATTGCAAATCATCTAGGTTCAAAATTCAAACATTCCAGGACAAAACTTGCCGTTTAAAAAAAGTAAAACTTATTTATTCCTGCTAATACATTAAAACCCCTTCTGCCAATTCCAAGATAATTTCTTGCAATCGCAGCCACATTGATGGTCATATCTTTCAATCGCAGCCAAATTTGTTATGATTTCCCGCGATACCAGCTACATCCAAAGCAATTTATTGTCATGCCAGACTTTCGGGATAACCTTCAGATCATGTCAACACCTCATGTCATTTCCCAATGTTGCCGCAATAACTGGGATTATTTGACTTGATCGCATGAACACCCGTGATGATTTCTTGCGATGTCGGATATCTGTGAACATATCTTGAAATCTCCGCAAAATTGTTGATAGTTTCTCATGGTCGCAGCAATTTCATTATCATTACTTGCATTTGCGGCAAAATCCGAGAAAATGTCTTCCGATCACGGCAACAGACGCAAGATAATATAAGTCGATCGCCGAACCATCCGTTTAAATTCCCGGTGATCATGTCAACATCTTCAATTATTTCTCACGAACGCCGCAAGAACTGTGATACGGTACGTGACAGCCCCTATGATAATTTCTCGCGATTGCAAGACTCCAGCAATTATTTTAACTCCTGTAACTATTGTTTGCAATCACGGCTACATCTGAGATAATTTTTTAATCGCGGCAAAATTTTTGAGGATTTCTATGATTGTGGCATTGCCATGATCATTACTTGCGATCGCAGAAACACCAGAACTTAAATCATGCCATAAGTGTCTAAAATGATTATGGCAATATTCGCAACGGAATACATGGGTGCATATTTGTACAACAGCGGGTGTTCATCAGTGTTAATTGTGACAGCAATTGACTTTGAGGAAACCTTACTTGCAGATCGGCGTATTTCAGACATCCAGAACTAACTGTAATCTTTAGTCTTACAGAAACGTCCCTTGTTTGACAATCTCTTTCCTTCACAGTCACACAATAATCTGCTGGAAAATTTCCATATTTGGGACAATCAAAACTAAATAAACAATTATGCGAATGTTTCTCCCTTGCACACATTTTCTTTCTCACAACACTTTAGGCACAATTTACACAGAACAGAAGTCGGGCGGAGACGTGGCACGGACGAGGCAACGACATATGCTCCTTCCTTCTCTCTCCATGTAAACAAAATTCAATTGGTCAATGCAGACACAAGTGATGTGGCTCGGGCGGCCGCCCTCCCGGCACCACCCTGTCCCTCGTGGCGTATCGCAAGTGGCATGTTTGTAGTATGTCGGTTGTTCGGACTGCAAATATTGTTTGCTTGTCAAACTTGTTTGTTGTTGTGTCTATCTCTTTAAGTAAATTGTGTGGCGTTTCTTTATTTTCCATTATGCGAGACAACATTGAATTCAATATCAACTCAGGTTTTGTGAGGAAGTCGAACGATACCATATTTATACGATCACAGTCGTTCTGATTACTGCAATAGAAGTGAGCAGGACCAAGCCTGGCAGAAAATTTCCCCCTTGGATTTTTCACAAAGGATGAACATAAAACATTCTTCTTGTTTGGAAATTGGTCAAGAGCACTAAATTGTCTTTATCATCTTCTTCACTGCTATCCTCCATATTGCGATGGTAGTTAGTACTAAACCTTAGTTGACATAAATAACTACATATAGCCTAAACCAAAACGTCTACTCTACAGACAAGTTTTCTCACCACTGTCCCGTACTGTATACATGGTACATGCCTGTATACAGTCCTTGTCTCGTCCGTGCCACGTCTCCGCCCGACGTCCGTTCTGTGTGAATTGGGCCTTACACTCCATTCACATCCGAGAACAGGCGATACACTTAAAATTCTGGTTGACGCCCGGGACCACAGAACATGATTTGTACTTGACTGGAGCATCAATTTTCTTTCTCAACATTTTTCAATACTGTACTTTGTCCAGACTAATAGTCCCATAGAGATGAGTAGAATAACAATGGATGAAGTAAGGAACATGATCTTGGTTTTAGATTTGAAATAGCTCACTTGGCTGGGAAGCTCTGTGGAGACCTTAATTTACAGACACCCCTCGTATCTGTAGCAACTAGAACTCTATAAAATATAATACTGATATTTACAACTACTAATATTTTTGGAAACTTTTCATAAGTTGTGCAACAAATCTTAGAGAAATGGGATTCTTACCATTATTAGTTTGATGAATGTGGGCCAATAATTTTTTAAACACATTTGACAAAAGTCTGTCAGGGAAATGGCGTATTTTATTAGCAATAATTTTTTGCTTAGGGTTTACAATAGATAGCATGTGAAGGGCTAGGATTTTATCAGGGTCATAAAAGAAATAAGTTGTTGGAGTTTGTAGTAATTTTGATAACTAAATTTCAAAGACATTGTAAGAATCAAACACTAACCAAATCATTGAACTAATCAAAAACAAGTAATTATGAGTCATGAAGATAGGAAATCAAAAAGAGATCCTTTTGCTACTGAACTTGACTGGCATATGTTAACGGAAGAAAAAATGTAACACAATCGAAGAGAGAGAGAAAGAAGAGTGAAAGATTAGCGACAAATCATGCGCGCTACCAATGATAACGATTAGTAACATCATGTCGCGACATTAAAAACTACGCATTTCATTCTTTCTAAAAATAAAAACTATAGCATCATCAAAACCGTACTTTTTTATCAAGTTATTTTTAACTAATCTGGAAATCTTGAAAAGGACGGCAAAATTAAAAACAAAAATCAAATTACCATAGGTGGCATTCTTAATGGTATCTAAATATTAGGTACTAAAACAGATTAAACATAAAAATTTTTAAATAACCTTAAATACATAACATGTAGAGCATAAATCTGTCAAAAATATGGACAGATTTACAGGACATATAAGGATTGTCTGTAAATCAAGGTTTCCATTGAGTTCGCATTTCAATCAAGCAAGCTTATTGAGTTACAAATCTGTTATGGCGGATCCAATCTGAGACCAACGTTGTGTTTCTTCCTTGATTCACAACTATTCTAGCTGGTTACCACACTTACTTGTGTGATTATCCACCAACTGAATCTGGTTCAGTGAGTAGGTTTCTCTTGGAAGAGGGTAAATTCTGTATGATTACTGTTGTTACCAGTTAACAGATGTTTATGTAGAATAGAAAAGTGTTTCAACGTAGTAAAAGTGGACAAATGGGGGAGAGAGTTGCAGAAGGCCGTATACATTTGCACAACGGGCTGGGCCGGCAGCGGTTACCCCTTTACATCAAAACAGGGATTGAGTTTGAAGAAACTTCCCTAGCTGGTTGGCATGTTTTTAGACTTCCAGGGCTGATCTTAGTCCTTGAGTTAAGAGACATCCTCTTTTAGTTCAACCATCCTACTTGTTCAGTCACACTGTGATTCGCAAGCAAAATTTATTCAACTCCCTTTACGGCTTCAAACAAAGCCTATATCATGACAACAGCAAGCACGGGACACGTCAAGCAGATGTTCAAGAAAATCAGCACAAAACACTTGACTACATTCACTTCTGTCCACTTGCATACTTTAACAGCGGGTGACAACTAAAGCAAAATAAAGATCTTCGTCAATTATGTTTTTGTATATTATGACGAGAGTAATCGTCTCACAGTGGTGAGTGTAGTAAGCAACACGGCTTTGGTCTCAGATTTGATCTAGCTTACTTGGCTGTGATGGGAGATTAATGGAGCCCTGGATTTACAGACAACTCTTGTAGAAGTAAATAAATATGTTGATTAATCACAAACATTGTACAGTTAGAAGATATAACTAAAATAAAATATGAATCATCACTACAAAAATCTATATATACAGTAGACTCCCTCTTAACCGGACATCAGTTTAACCGGCGGCAGAAATAATATCTCTTTAACTGGACAATTTTTATCAGCACATTGGATTAACAGGAATTGATCGGCAGGAAGTGGGCGGTACTGAAAACTACTGTTCTCGTGGGAAAGATTTGAGACCAGTGATCACGTGTCCTAATACAATGCTCTCCGAAATTTAAGTCAAATACTGTATACAGTATGCATGTAAACAGTCCGTTTTAACAAGTTTTTGGGTAAATCAGTTTAACAGGAAAACTATTATCCGGACTGGCCTTGGTCCTGAGGAGTCCGGATATGAGGGAGTCTACTGAATACTTAAATTTTAATCCTGGTAGTAAGCAAAGATAGAAAGGACAAAAAATTTAAATGTTCAAAAAAGATCTCTAATTATCGAGTGACTTTAGCTGTAGTGATTTTATAACTTGGCAAGTTGCTCTTTTAAAATGTTTATTGATTTGCAAACTTAAAATCAATAAATAAAATTGCATCTTTTTCTACACATAATTTTATCATAATTACAATAACCTGATCAATAGAATGGTCTAACTGAGAGAAGTATATTATTATGTGCTGTGATAAAAATTTCATTAGGCTTATTACAATTTTGTTTCAAAAAGTCAAATAGTCTCATGACAAATATTCGGCTAGGAAAGAATTCTTACCTTAGAGCCCCGTTCATTGAAAATGATTTCAACATCAAGAATTGGACCAAATTGCTGTCAACATAAAAGGTTTGATTAATAATGGATATTTCATAAATCATTCACAAAGGTAGGGAAGGACATGGTGGTTGAAACAAAATCAGCACTAGCATTAAATTCTTACTCTATCACTAAATGAATTCTTTTCATCCTTTTATACAGCAGTAAACTATTTTTAGTTTCCAACTAGTAAGCAAATAATCCTTCAGTTTTTCTATTTACATTCTAGCAGTAATTAGCAACATCCTATTGGTTTTCTTTTTATGTTAATTTTAATAACAGTCTCCTAAGAAACAGCTTTAATCCTCTCAATGCACCCAATTGTATGGATGTCATGTCCAAACAAAACACATTATAGCACAGAATAAGGACCTAACCCAGAGCCAGAATTCCCACTGAGCCAATACAAATGTTGTATTTGAATCTGCTAGGACCAGTTTTGTAAGTGCTCTCTCACTGGCCTATAGTGGCCCGCCAGCCAGTGACGGCGCTCCTAGATTCAGGTGCAAACACAAGCAGACTCAAATGCAGCCTTTTTTGGTTCAGTGAGGGTTCTGAGATAGATCTTTATTTTGTGGTTCTACTCAAACAACTGGCAAAACGGTTTCAGTTTGAACAGATTAAAATATGGATGATTGTTGTAGGTACTGACCCCAAACATGGCACGGAGATCAGGGTCTCTGAACCTGAAGGGTATGTTGGAGACATGCAGTCTCTTAGCTTGACTCTTGCCCTCCTGTTGCTGGTTTAGCACAGCCAGGGCCAGGTTGCCAGGGGGAGGAGGTACTGCTGTGCCATTGGCTGTGGCTCCCTGCTGTTGGCCATTGGTGGAGTCTGTCTGTTCTGGTTCTGTCTGCTGTGAAACAAAACAAGAAATAAGTGTCTATATTTTAATTAGTTGTTCTTTATTTAAATCCAGGAAAGCCTAGACAATCTATGATTATAAGGTAAAATGATGTTATTTAATACGAAAAGTCTCCGAGGCCGTCACGTTTCCCATGCAAATGAAAGTTATGTGAGTGAGGATAGGTTAGGTTTAGTGTTTTAATGAAAGATTGTTCAACTATAGTTGGCCTTAATTCCTTCACTGTTGGGTTGACACTTTTTCTCAGGTACTCAACACCATAAGTTTGATTGCTTTCAGAGCTTAAATGACCTGTGTAGCAAAAAAAAAAAAAAATGCATTCAATATTATTGATTTTTCAACACAGTGGAACAGAAGGAAATCAACATCATCGATCTCTGTACTGAACAACAACTTCAACAATACCGAAAGTAATCCCGCAGCTTTAGGAAAATGTTAGTATTAAATGTTGATTACATTGTCCATCCTTTATGTGTACAAAGTGCACTAATTGCACTTACATTTAAGTTAAAAAATTTGAATTGATTGAGAAAAAAAAACTCAGTAAATATTACTTGATATATACTGAATGTATATTTCCTTATATAAAAATCGCAAGAGGCTCTGAGGGAAACATTGGTAGCTTAGACTATGTAAGGTAGAGGGAGGGACAAAATTAGTTCAATTTATTCAGTGTCCTGACTCTGCACTCATTGAGATGTCAGTCTTACCAACCAGGGGTTCAAGATCAACCAGGGGTTAAGAGCAACCAGGACCTTTGAAGTATCAATGTTACTATGTACACTGTGCAAAAAAAATGAATTTAATGCCTAAATTGTTACCTAAATAAAATAGTTTTATAACAATTCCTTTTAGAGTAGTATTTGTTAGTTCTTTAATTTTTTTTAAATACACAGCACTATTATCATATTGGAATAGTCGCTCAAGTGGTACTGTTTTACATGTTTGACCTGTATGGTACATTTCTTCAGAGCTATTGGCTAGTTGAAGAGAGCGATTGCGGACACTAGGGATTGTTGCGACCTGACAAGGGGTTGGCAGGTCACTACAAATATTTCAACGGTATCATGAATTTGTTATAGAGCTTTATTGTTGACATTGAAAATACGAACAAGTTGTTAATCAAATAAAGAATGAAGACGGGTTATCAATACGAGCAATTGGTTTTCTTACTTTATTGAATGTAGTAAACCTTAAGACTAAATTGATTTACAGATAAAACCAATCAAAGATATTTGAATAATATGAGTTTCAAATTACAGTATTAATTTTTGTTTTAACAAGGTTGCTGTACTGTACTTTTAGTCATAGTCTAAATGTATTTTAGTATAAAAACTAATCTTTTGACACTCTTTTAAATTGTGACACAAAACCACGTCATTGAGTATCCAGAGTGTTTAAATGTACAGTTTTTAATCAGTATTTTGTCTTGTCTTATGTTTATATTACTTTTAAAGAATTGCAAAGTAAATTTATCACCGGAATTCAATGGTTTTGAATAAAAACTACATTTTCTGGAGGCTAGCACAAAACTATAAGACAGTACAGTTGACATAGGTATCCGGATGTTAAATACACAGGCCTATACACTATGAAATAATAAGGTATGAGATTAACTGTTATAACATCAGGCCTTCTACAATGCCCTTAGCTTTAAAAAGGGGTTCTATCGATATGCTGTTTTCAAATGCAGATTTTTAACATTTTGGTATTTTTATTTGCTGAGTGTTTATTTATTACAATTAATGACTAAAGATATGTCAAGACTGTTGACAATATGTTGTATAAATAGAATCAATAAATATATAACTTAATGGATAAAATGTTACAAAAATTGGTCGTAATGAAAAAAAAAATATTAATTTGGAAATCATATGAACGTAGTGGCTTATCCCTTCTTGCAGCTTCTTTGTCATACATAATACATACATAATAATGTTTCACAATGTTTCCAATGTTCTTGGAATATTAGTTGAGACCTGTCAAACCTATGTCAGGTAGCAGTAGCCCCTACATTGTAGTGTCCGCAATTGGAAGGCATTCGAGTGATCTGGGCCTTATAAAAAGGCCTGAGGTGGGTCAAATGGTCAAATCAAGGCGCCGATGTTCAGCAATTTTCAACATTTGACACCACAACCCAAAATTGGAAAACGGGCTGGGCGTGACCTTGTATAGCAAACGTTGAGAGATTGATCAGAGAAGCTCAAGTAGGGGGGGGGGTGCTTACCCTTCCTACGATAAACAACAGGGCGGGCCGGTAAACAAACAGTAGCTTGGCTATAACTGGCGCTAAACAGACTGGGCTGACGTCAAACAAAAAACTGGATTTGTAAACAAACAAAATACAAGCAACTGGGTATCGGGTATTCCAAGGGAGTTGTACAATCTACAACGCAATAAAGAAACTCCAGTACAACTATGTGCGTGGCATTTGATTGATAAAATAGACCTGATTTATAAGGATTGTTAAAACAACAATGATAGCACTCTGTTCTAAATAATTATTTTTACAAGGTTAGTGTTTTTTATGTCAAGGAAATAAAATATTGTTTTGAAGAAATCAAAACTACAGACTCAACAAATTTTAATTTTGTCTGATTGGATATTTACTCAAATATTCCCTTACACATGTCAGATCATTTCCCTATTTAAATAAAATTAGTTGTAATGAGTAGGCTTACTTCTGTTTGTTGCTACAGGGAGGGTCAATAGATTAGTTGGAGCTTAGTCCAGAACAAAATTAAATAGAATAACGAAATTTGCGAATTTTGATCAAAATATATCCATAAAAAGTTTGCTTATTTTCAGTTAAAATAACATGGTAATTTTTAATTTAGCTTACAATTTTTTATTTTCTTTGTAACCAAACACCATACAACAATAGTTCAATATACAGTAACTATACTGAACTAAATTATTTGTTTTTAAGCTATACGAAATTATTTAGAGAAAAATGTGAAATTCTAAATATAAATGAGAAAAACTTATTCCTACCCTATAAAACCCCATTAATATGATCCTCGAATCAGATAATTTTTACTCATTTCATCGTGCTAACGGACACACTCACATAATATAAATAAATGAATTTGAATGGATGGTGTTTTTGCATTTGGGGACATCAGAACGAAAAAGCAAAACGGCCCCGGGTCCTGGTCTTAACATATACCCACGGCAATAGCTTTTTCCTATATGTGAAATTCAAAAAAATGGATTTTGTAAACAAAACAAACAAAATACAACAGTTGGTACAGTGGCTTTTTTCCCTAACCATAACTGTAGTAATTATTCTAAGAACACTAACTTTAATTTCTACTTTTGAAAGGACAGAACTTTTGTAAAGAAAGTTTTATCTCGTTTAAGTTATATAGGATGTTGATTAATAAACAAGGCACACTGTTAAATAAAACAATTATTACAATAATACAGTAGCCTTTAAAGTGAAAACTGCATAACCTCCTGAGGAGAGCAGGCAGCAATAAGCTAAGGTTGGTTCCTTGACCTCTGTCGCGGAAAGTGGTTTATAAACAGCTAACGACCGTTTCACATTGCGACTAACGGGCCCGGGGTTGACATTTCACATACGTGAGAGAAATGTCACCAAAGAGATCTCAGATCTGACGACAACAATGGTCAGGTGTCACAGTCAGCTGTGGAGGCCAACAACAAAATCCACAACGAGGAGGCAGGCAAAAAATGTTATCTTGTCTAACAAAGTCGAGACACGCATGTGGAATTAATAATAGTAGTTACATATACACATGCAATCAATATCGTAATAAAAAAATATATAAATATACTTACCAGCAAAATGATTTTAAGATGAATAGTTACAATTTAATTAAAATAATACAACGTGTTTAGTTTATACTTAAATAAATAAAATATTTAAGGGATACCCCGATATAATGTTGTTATCATTTGTTTATTATTGTCTAAATAACTGCTAATGACATAAAAAAGAGACCAATGATGGGGTGTATACATTTTATTTAAAACAAATTAATCTGCTTTATTTTGTCTCCTCAAGTTATATTCCATCTTCATTATCTCAACATTTTGAGGAACACCATTGAAAATTCAAAACGGTTAATACCGAAACTACCTATAATACAATAATTTAGTTACCAGAATCCTGTTACAAAAAATAATGTTAATTGTTTTGTTAAATCACATCGATTTAATTCTATTTGTTACTTACGTATTTCACAGACCACACCGAATAATAACCTAACCTAAACCATAGTCCACCCTTTAGGTTAGGTTAGGTAAGGTAATAATTATTCGGTGTGGTCGGTATAATACGTAAGTAAGTACCTAATAGTTTAGTATTTCTCATTTAATATATGTGGTTAAATATATTACATTCTAATTTAATAAGACAACGCCGGGCTGACACTGTAAGTCAAAGTATATGTTGAAAAACTAGGTTATCCAGACACAAAAACTAACACGAGCCGTCTGTCAAAACAGTAAGTAAAATTGGACAGAAAACATGAAACCCTGTCAAAGAAAGAGACTCGCATCCTATACGAAAATGTGCCAAATCTGGGCTGATATCTGAAAAAGCTCGTTAAAAGTTGGAGCGCGGCTTGGCGCTGGGTGGAACATCGGCAAGTAACTTGGTAAGTGGCTGAGGCCTAGCCTCTTGTCGATGATATAAATAATTAGAATGGTCATCAACCACTGTTGCGCTTTTTATTTACAGTTACTCAATGGATTAATAAAAAAAAATTTTTAGATGGACTACGAATTTAGTAAACGTATACGAAAATTCATCTGTATAACATAAACCGTTATCGTCCTTTTGAAATGTTGAAAATTATATTATTTCTTCTGCAAGTCGACCTTTGGAAAAGATATATTTTATGTACGAAAATGCTATGTTAACGAGACTACTCTTTCCGCCAAAAGTAGGTGTGGACAATCGTGAAGAAAGACTATTGTATTTTCACGAGGATCGTTCGGAGAATTAGACAAACCCGACCGATTACCAACAAACGAGGCCACAACGACAGCTCAACAATATGGGGATACTAGGATTGTTACCAAGTGTTTTTGATTCATGGCAGAACCATAGGATTTCAACTTGCGTATCACGCAAGTCACGGACAAGCCAGTGATATTACTCAGTCTCTCGTCTGTGGTACAGGTCCATGTCAGGACGAAATGTTTAATCCGGACAAATAATTGGGATGGATATCAAACAGTTTATCATTTAGCAAATCCCTGCAAAATTACATTTTTATAAAGAAGTACAAAAGCTAATTTCACAAAGAGTCAGGGACGATATCTCCCCGTCCCCGTTTGTGTATACCATTACGGGTTGTTTGTATGTGTCGACTTGTCATTTCTTCACGACCGATTAGTTTTATATTAGGTTTAAAGTATTTGTAAAACAGCGTAACACTAATGATATATGATAGACATAAATGCAAGAGTTTATGAAATCTCCATATAAAACATATTATTTTTACAAATGAATAAATATACGATGCAAACAGATAAGAAGTAGTGTACTTACTGTAACTGTCTCGGTAAATGGTGGTCTCTGTTCCTTCTGAAACAGACAACGGGGAGATAAGTAAATTGGAAAAATAACCTCAAACGGGGTTGTAAACGTTCAGTTAAAACATTAGAACAATAGAACTGATGTGGCTCATACATTATTGCATAGTAGGCTGCTACGGGCAAAACAAACTAAACGATCCTGAGGACTCACGCGGCTTTAATTTTATGGTTTGAAATTTTCTTCATAAATATCCTGCCAAGACCAAGCTGTAACCTGGCAGTACACAGAACAGGCGGTATGTTTAATAAACAAAAACAAATTATGCCAGTGGCCCAAAAGTAAACACATTTTTTTATTTCAATGCAACAGAACTGTCCAAAACTTCCAAACCAGATATTAGTTATTAGTAAAATATTCGGGCCAGATTCATTTGTGTATTATGATAATATGTTATGATTCATAAAGTTTCTGTTATAATGTCTGTGTGGCAGTAACAAAACAACAACATTTAAACACGGATACAGATGGAACGTTCGGATGTTTCATTTACAGGACCGGATGAGAATGGAAGTACAGTATATTGATGATAAAGCTGCAGACCGTACCAAATAAAATCTCAGATTCGGAATCCTGTCCCTGTTTCGGTTCAAATAACAATTTACTGTAACAAAGGGATCGCGGCGTGGCGCGGCATTGTGCTGTTCCCAGGACTGATTGTTACACCCTACGGTACAATACACACTATACACTATACACTATACAGTATACAGTATACTGTACTGTACAACTCCCACACAACCCGAGGCCAGCGATACACCTCCACTCACTCACTTCCGGGGTGGAGGTGTATCGCGGTATTTCATTATCAGTTTCCACTAGTCAGCACTCAGCACCTCGATCCTAGGCCTACTATCCCTTCAATCTGATTATTATTTGATGATAAAATACTATACCCCCGTCGTCGCAGTAAACCTCCAGACCTAAAAGTGACTTTCCATTTCTCTGAACGGGTTTTGACAAAAATACATGGTGTTTATGATTCAACAGGTTATAATAAATGCATTGACCTCACAAGTTAACAAATACTGATAAACATTATATTAATTTTAAAAAGGTCCCGATGTTCCGTAAATTAAAATTGGTCACAAAATATGTTTCTAATCTGTATAGTAAATAGACCTTAATATCATAACAATTAACGGGAACTTGGGTTTGCTGCTACAGGGAATGAACATTGTTTTAAGAATAATTTTAACAGTATGGTATGAGATATCGGTCAAATGGGTCGCCGGATTTCTACCCCCGGATATTTACCCCCATGAAAAAACGCCTACGTCATTTTGACGTCACGAGGGGCGGGGCTTATACACGTTCGAGAAACGGGCGCACTGATTTCGAGCACGAAAACCCAAAACGCGGTGAAATCGAGCATTGCACTGAAGCGGCAATAATGGGTTCCCTAATCTTATGGTGATTTCGAGCATTTGGCCTTCCTAGAACTTGAAGGATGATTAAATAGGGGAAGATGAGAAACACATTCAAATCAAACTACCACATTTATTTCCTGACCTTGTGGCCTACACACTTGACAAAAGTTAACAAATTAATGTGCGAGTCCCTCAGTTGTTTTAGTTTCAAATCGATAAACTATTGCCGTACTAGGGCGACCTTCCTTTGCTTTGCTTCTTCTCTGCGCAACGCACTGTTCAGTCGTATGTACGTTTCGGTTTTGGCACTTTGTAAATATTTCATGAAAACAAAAATGTTTGGATGAGACGACGCACAACCCATGTTGAAACGTTAGCGGAAACTCTCGCACGAGTTGGTCGTCCTACAAAGCTCAGCAAAAGCAGTTGCCCAGATCTGTGGTGGGTAAAACGCATCATCCTTGCCGATATATGTCTCCACCAAGTAATCTGCGAAGATGGCGAGTTTTCTCGCATGCTGGTTGGATGGAAATAAAGTCGCAGAAAGCCTAGTCTTAAGCATTCTTGTAATAAAGTCATACGCTGCATACCGCTGCCGTTCCGGGTGTGTCCCTTACAACGTGCGTGCTGTACATTTGAAACCCTTCTTTGGGTGAATCATTACTAAAAATGCAATATGTGTGTAAATATTATCAATTATCAATCATTGAGATGGGGACGCCACCTAGGTGCGTATTTTAACCCAAATATGAGTGAAGGATGAGTGTAGAATGGTGTGTGATGACCTGTGTAGCTTTGTTACCGACTAAGATCAGCGGTTACATTAGTCAGGATCATTTATTTAAAGCCCAATGATCAGGAACAGCTGGGTCCAGTTTCAAACCATCAAAAAGCTACGGACTTTTCTCAGGATCGAACCGGCGACCTTATGATTATTTATTATTATATTTATTTTTATTTATTATGTAGGCTATTCCAAACTTTTTTTTTTTAGAAGGGTTTTTTTAAATCCATGGCGCAGCTAAGCTGTATGTACTAAGCAAATTTCATTCACATTGGATTTCATTTTTCATTGTTAAATAAACAAATATTTATTCTATTCACACTTAAATATCTCCTTAAACATGTCAGATTTATTCTCTATATAGATACCATTACGTTTAACGCGTACTTAGTACTTTTCTGACACGGGAAAGGTAATTTAGGGGTTTTTTTAGTAAAATAATAAAAGCTTAGGATGAAATAAACCAATTTTTCAAATGTGATCAAATATTTCCAAAAACAAGCAAACTACAACAGTTAACCTATTCTGCAAAAGAATAACTTGAGAGTTTTAGATTTACGATGTTTTGAATTTTTGTCGTATAAATTAAATTATTTGAATCAATTTTCAATTTGAATAATTTGAAATTTTAACCATACAAAAATACTTTTGAGAATTGTGTAAAGAGTAGGCTAATAGGGAAACGGAACCCAAATTTACTCTTTAAAACCACCATAGTTCTCCGTCCCCATCGTCAGATCATGCTTGTTCACGAACTCGTTCGAATAAATTTTGATTTAGACATTTATACTCACAACTAGGCACTATACCCATGCCTTGCAACGGGGTCAGTATGCAAAAGATATAATGTTGGTTCTTTGAAAATACCTTAAAATGGTTTCACACGCACAATTTAATTAAAAAACAAAATTTAACCATATTACTTAAATTTACAGTAGTACGTTTTTGTTAACTCAGACTGTTAACACCTATTTAGGCTACCTAGGATCCAAAACCAATGATAGATGTTAAGGTATTTCATCAATGAACAGCTAGATGCATTGTCCTTCCAGACCTGGAGGTCCCATGCTCGAAATCACCACAGGATTAGCGATCCTATTACTGCCGCTTCAGTGAGTGCTCGAAATCAGTGCACCGCGAGAAACAGCCCGCGACTGGAAATCTACCCCCGGACATCTACCCCCGGACATCTACCCCCAGACATCTACCCCCGGACATCTACCCCCGGACATCTACCCCCGGACATCTACCCCCGGACATCTACCCCCGGACATCTACCCCCGGACATCTACCCCCGGACATCTACCCCCGGAAATCTACCCCCAGTGGTCAGCTCTGCCACGTATCGGCCAATATTCATTGTGTTGTATAATTGATTTTATAAATTGCTTTATCTTCTTATATCCAGTAGTAAACATGCGATATGTCGACGATGTCTGTTTTAACATTATCCATATTTATAATTCAATAAGTTGTAACAGTCCTTTTCAACCCGACCTACTTCACTGATTTTTACGATTGAGGTGTCTTTTAAAAGCTTAAGATCTAGCGCAGCACAAAATGGTAATTAAAAGGATATTTCGATTATAGCTTAAAAAGGTTAGTTGACCCCTAAGCCTTTGATTTATTCCTAGAAGGTGCTTCCAATGGTTGACCAACTTTTACTCTATACAGTAACAGTTTAAAAGTGAAATGTGAGGAGATCAATTTTTCATCAGATCAATTTTTAAGTCAGGTTGTGAAAACATGAATGATCGTCTGCAACTGTAAACAGGAGATGAAAAAGTTATGAAAATAATATAATATTGCGCACTTTTCACATAGTCAAGTGTTACATCGTACTGAACCATTGTTTTTACACACATTTCATAGTTATATACAATAGTTTATACAAATAAATTATATCAAAATATATCCATAAACAAGAAAACTACAACTGTTTACTTTTACTCCATAAAAATAACACGGAGATTTTAAATGAACAGTTTTTTGTTCCCTTTTCCCCGTTACGCCCCCACCTTTAACACTTCAAACTGTAAAAATTGGAAACCCCCATGTTTTTGATTTTCAAACCCCCCATAACACGCCGATCATATAACCCAGACCTGCTGGTTCGCGAACTCATCCAAGTGTATACACGACAGCCCCGCACATTATGTCAAATGTAGTCACAATCGTACAAAAACTACTCGAGTTATCGCTTTAACGGACACTGTTACACATAAATAAATATTTTAAATAGTGTTTTTGGCCTCCTGGGACATAAAAAAATAAAATAAAAACAAAACAAATCGGTCACTGGTCAAGCTTGCGTATGTGACAAAATACTTTAACGATACATTGTCCTCAGATCACCTCGCCGACAAAGGCGGCATTGAAACATACAATTTAGGCTACTCATATATATATTCAAGCTATGTGGAATACAACATAATTATCATGTTTTATGTTAAAGATTTTCTTGCAAAGTTACAATAAATAAGTAAATTTTAATCAGAAAAATATTAAAATTGACTCCGAGGAAATTTCCATGTCCATCCCCTTAAACAGTTTATTTCACAATTATTAATAATCTGAATATTGATGCATAAAATGCTAGTTTGCTCGAGGAAGTTCAAAGTTAATAACGTTAGGATATGAGCCAGCAATTCTTTCCGTAAATATTTAACGAGTAACAGTTTAATTGGTAAACTCTCCGTTATTAAAAGTTGGATATAACTTTCCATTGATTTTCCTTGTCCTGTCGTTGGCCGAAGATAAAATAAATGTCCAATACGTTTCAAGGTCCTCTTAGATAGGTATGCAGTAATACGAGTCCCAACTTCTGGGCTCAGATGTGCCTTTCACGATAAAATATGACAATTTAAATAATAATATCGACTTGTATGACAGCTGTACAAGGCGTAAATGTTGATAATACTAATATTGTAATGCTGCATTCTAGCATTTAAAACAATAATTCTACATCAACAACAGCCGATAGGAAGTTTGGTAACCAATCGATTATCACATGAGTACTCTCAAAATAATAGATTTTAACTGCGTCTAAATACCTGGCAGAATGCAATTAAGGCTTTCATAATAATCGCATTCAATAGCAATCGCTATTGAAGGGAAATTAATTTGAAATTGAATCTAGTTTCACAAAGGGGCTGCACTTTCGTTATGCGGTTTAAAGCAAAATGTAATTTACACAAGGATATTGTAAACTATATCAAATGGACATCATTGCTGTCTTCATACTTCTGAAAATATCGATGGTAAACCATTTTTAATGATTACTCTATTTTCGTACTGTGCTTACAGATGAATATTTTGTTTCGTTCAATGACATAAATGTGACCACTGACGATCAAACACAAAAGAAAGCATCGTCGTAAACACAAGTATATCTCAACGTACGTTATCTAGCTGGTCTAGTGGTCGGCCATCTTGACTTCTACGTGGAGCTTTACTATGATTTGTTAGGTAACACGAAAGCCAGCTAAAGCCAAGCACCGAGCACGTATCACGCACCGCGAGAATTACATGGTGCGAAGCTGTATTTCACAAGCGGCGAGGTTTGGGGCGTTTGGGCGTACTTTTACCATCTACCAACGAACAAGTTGTCCACATGTCCTAACCTACTTTTGATTCATACTTTCGTGATGAATGATTTATTTTCAGGCCGAGGTTGGAATATATTCATCGTGCCAAGCAAATTGGACACACCAAATCTAAATTGTAGATAAAGGCAAGGTAAATGTTGAGATATGTTATTTTACGTGGAAATAGTTAGATACTTTAGAGTACAGTGAAAACAATATGAAAATAACATCAAGCTATTCAAGTTTTAAATTGGTAGCAAACTCTTTAAATATCATTCTATTGATTTCACTAATTTTAATTACAGTTTTAATTAAATTTCACAATTTGAACTTATGTCAGAAATACAATTTTACTCGTAATAAAAACATGAAATTAATGTTATCAAATTACATTTCCAATTTTAAAAGTTTAACCAATGGCTATTGGATACTATAGTTTAACATGAATACAAATGTTAGTTAAACTTATATTTGTTCGTTATAAGAAGAAGAAGACTCAGGATAGACTGAAAATAGTACTGGTAGTTTGAAAAGAAACCCCGCATATCAGATCGATATAATAAAGTTAGCATAACGGTCGATTGTAGCGATATTGAAAGCACTAGTTGCGCTATCGTTGCAACTCGGAATCAGCACAACGTTCATAAAAACTCTTCAAATTTTTCCAGGAGAGCAAATTTTGTCGCCAACTTTCCAGACTACTGGCGTCAGAGCTAGGTCGACCTGGATACGAAATGCACAGCTTTAAATTGACTTTTAAAAATTGGAAACCCTGAAGTTGACTCATACAAATATTTGTTGTAAAAGAGAACAACAAAATCAAAGCGCCCAAAACGTGATTACTTTATTTTAGACAATTTTAATGCGGTTCTAAAAAAATCTTTTAACACCAAATTTATTACTGTATAAGTGTTTCGATTGGATAGTCCAATAAGGCTATATTGCTATGTATGGTTATATTAAGATTCACGTTTAAAATGCAATCAATTTTATAAAGAGTCTACTCTACAGTATAACGACATTCAAAGCCAACCTTAAATAATACCCGTCCTGGTATACATGAAAGATGTGATTTAACTGCCTGGGATAGCCCCTCAGCTGCAGGTAATCGAACAGAAATGATTCACCACCGTCGATCAACTACAGATTATTGCATGCGGAGGTAAGGATATGTTTCGCCACGTCGTTGGCATTATCAACTACTGTAGTCGATCCAAAGTTCAGCCCATAAAAAATTAACTCACATGTTTTTTTTTTTTTTTTTGTTTTTTTTTTGTATGTGTGTTATGTTTTAGCAAGTGTTTAGTTTTATCATTGACGATTGGTGAGTATATCTTAGATAATTGTGTCAAGGACTATGCATTATTCGAGTATTCAATGAATGAGGTAGTCAACACGGCATTGCAGCATCTATCTACAGGAGAATGTGAGATGCCCCAGGTATGAGACCACCTGTCGGCCTTGCCGCTGGATACATACATTACATTACCATTACGTTATATGTGAAGCAACATCACAAGCCTTGGACCAGTCACTGTGGACCGGTCACTCAACACTCAAGGCCAATCATCAATCAGGTATAAGCAACTGTGCTGAGGATAACATAGACGACACAAGGGAACTTTACTAGTCTATCACAGCAAATTGAATGGATACCGACCCTATGTTGAACAATGGGAAAAATGAAAATCGAATCATCCAGCACAGGCAACCAAGTTTTGTTCTTTTATAGAATGTCCAGTATTGTAGAGGATTGCATATGGTTAGGCCTCGTATGTACAAATAAGGGAATCGTAGATTTGTCTATTTCTGGGAATTTTTAGCAAGTGTGTAATGCATTAAAATTTAAACTGGTCTAAAAACACAATCGAGCAATCTTAATGATCGACTAATTTCAATAGGAATCCCTTGTAAAACAATGCTGTTCAATACTGAAGTAGCTTTAATAACTGTTGCGTTATTATAAATAGGGGAGCGTTTTAAGAAATATAGACTATGGTTTAGATATAAAACAGACGAAAGTATAACAAGAATCAGCCACAAGCCAATGTAGAGATGGCCCACTTGATAAACCTGGGATCAATGCAGAACCAACCTAGCTAGGCAGGACTCTATCTCTACTTCAGCATTGCTCCTCAAACCAACTCTGCAGATGAACTATCACAACTATCCAGCCGAGAGGTGGAATCACGACCGAATTAAGCAAGCAAAACTAAATGAGCCAATGAATGAAAGATAAGCAATACTTTGAGGCGTTTTGGATCGTCCAAACGTTATGATGGCAGTGGCATATCGTGTAAATTACATTTCCATTTAAAATGTGCCGATTAAATGTTGATAAAGCTATCTCAAGGAAATAACAAATGAGGCAATTAATTCTTAAAAAAGCCACATTATCCTCACAGAACATTATCCCCTGTTAATGTTTTGTGTAATATAATTATGATTGCAATAAATACTCAGTTAATTTTAACTAATATTTTCAAAAAAATATTTAAAGTTTTGTGGTTTTGATTCAGGGTGTCCACAGAAAATTTGTCATTAATTTCCATGACTATCCATGACCATTTACCAATGATTTCCATGACTCACTAACTTTACTCGCACATTATAATATAACATGCACACACGAATATTACTGCCTGGATAGGTTATTTCACAGAAAATACTGAAATATGTATTAACAGATAACAATGGAGTACAATAGGTACAACAATGAACTAATAGAAACACAAAACTCATAAACTAATTCAACTTTTATAAATTTAATTGTTGTACATTTGCGAAACATTCTGAAAAATGCTACAATATTCAGGGTTACAGCTGCCTAGAGTATTTTTTTTTTCTTTTTTAAATAAAGAGGTTGGCGGCCTCTTTTAACCTTGCATTTGCCCGTCCACATAGACTAAGCGCCCGTGCGTGGATCGTTAACAGCAAAGCAAGGAGTGAGCCGGTACAGTACAAAGGTGAACTGTACTGATAAAATGTTATCGGCAGTGACCAGGATCCGAACCCACGACATCGCTGCCTTGGGCCCGAAGTCCGCGACGCTACCGACTGAGCCACCGACTCACTAGCTCACTATTAAACTATTAAACTACTATTAACTATTAAACCGACTCACTATTAAAAGGTCCCTTCAAATCCATCCATCATTGGGGATTTCCATGACTTTCAATGACCAGAATTTTTTTCCATGACTATCCCTGACTTTCCACAATGTGGACACCCTGTGATTTGTAACGGTTCTAAATGTTACCTAATATTTTTTTTTAAACTGAGCTGACTGACGTATACTGGAGAACACACACAAGCACGACAATAAATAGGTTGATAATACATAATAGGCTGAAGTTACTTACAATTGTTACGGAGGGTTGTTCGATGCCGTTGAGAGGTAGAGTGGCAGGTGGCGGGGAGAAGGGTGGTCCAGGCACTACGGGAGCTTCTTTACCAGCTTCCGCCGCCTTCAGAGGACCAGCAGCCTCGCCGTTCTGGGCGAACTGTGTGGCGTACGGCGACGGCGTCATGCCTGTCTGCACCATATGCTGCAACAAGAGACAAGAGTCAGCTACAACAGGTAACATATATATGTACCTTAACATCTAGATATTTAGGGCATTCTCTTGTCAGAAGAGGCCCAAAAGGCAGAAATCAGCAACAAGTAAAATACTGCAGAGGATAACATTGTCATCCAAGGATCCGAGACCTTGTCTTGTAAGAAAAGTTTACACTACGGGTATGCCATATTTCGCATACTTTGTTTGTTTCCTTATTTCGCATCCTAGAACGCTAGGATCTAATCAGAAACCGTTTACCATTTCTGTTAAGTTAAGGGAGTATTTGTTTTAATATACAACCATATAGTACTTAATTAACGCGAAACCCGTTCCCCGGTCTGACAAACAGAGCAACAAAGGTCAGTACGAGTGTCGCAATGGAGGTAACTCATTGAAACCTACACGAGACACGTAGGAAACATTACACCTGAGATAATTGTGGTTTTGGTGGTAATGGCAAGTGTGGTAATGATACACTACAGTTCATTGCAATACAAGGCCCGGACCCTGACTGTATTGTTGTCGGTCTCGAGTACTGCGAATGTGGGGGTAGCACAGAGATAATGTCCCTGGTGGGCCTAAAGGACTAATTCACACAGGTACTCCGGACTCGTTTTGTTTTCTTGTGATATTTTTATTCTATTCACTCTGTTATAATGTTTAAGTGTATATCTCTAGTAATATTTGCTAAGGCATTACTGCGTTTTCCAGGGTAGGGGATGTACGAACATCTATTGGTAATGAGTGAGATACAGAAACATCAAATTATATTGCCGATCTTCAAGTACCACGTACACTATTGAGATTGGAATCTCAATACTGTAGTAGTATACTTTATAATATGTTATAATCTTATGTTGTTATGTGACTTTGTGTAATATAATCTTTGACAAGTCTACATATTTTGACCCAGCGGATTAAACTACAAGATCGTGAGAAAATATTTATTTACATATAATAGAAGATGTACTAAGTTTTGACACTTATAACTAGTTCAAATGCGCTACGCCTATTTTTCATAGTCTGGGACGGAACCCTAAACAAAATTGTTAATCGGCTATGCTATATGGCAATGACAATCACTGAAATAGAGTGTACACTGTTCCTATGGTAAATTTGAACTGACACAGTCTAGTATTTTTGCGTAACGACGGGATGAACGTTTGAAGTTTTGGCTCATTTTGTATAATACAAATGTATTATTATGGTATTGTTGCGACTCATTGTTAATTAAGATATAACACTTATATAAATAAGATCAGTTCTGAGTAGTATTTGTAGTTCTTAGCAACAAGTATGGCGTATACAAAAGACACAAATTCCAGTGTTCGTGGGGAACGTTGGTGGGAAATCACTAGCACAAACAGGAGATTCATACACGGATAGACAAAAGCAAGTCTGTGAAAATAGGTGTAATTTTGTTACAAAAATTTTCTCAATTTAACTTAAAAGCAAGTACGATCTTATGGCGGACTGAAAACGAAACGCTGATGATGAACAACATGTTGAAAGATTGAACGTGTTATTTCATGACAAAAAGTAAGCGAGGGCCCACGGGAGCGTTATAACATGTGCGTACACCTGGCTCCTTACTGTTATGTGGGGGGGGGGGGAGGAGGAGAGGGGGTTATCATCACTACGAAACATTGGGTTGTAAATTAACACTCTTCCCCATATTGGTTGGCCTATAACAATGATCAATATCGCATAGCATTATTTAAATGTCTGGAGAAATATGTTTCCATGTGCAAATAAAAGTAGATAAATTAAACTTTTAGGGAGCCCTACTAATACTATAGGTAGGGAAGTATGGAATTGTGTTTGCGTCTATTATTTCATTAACGGTAAGTATGAGCTGAAATTTACAGGGAATACCCAATAAACCCGAGGTAGCATGGGTATGTTTTTGAAGGCTTTCGCAGTAGCCGGGTTATTTTATGAATACACAGATTGATCAATTAATATCAGTTAAACACATACCCTTGAAAATTGCCATCCACCGACGAGATGGTTGGCGTTACCTGACATTTATCAATGCTTTGTGCGGTAAATTACCTGTTTATAAAGTTTTAAACGTCAAATTTGTGTTGCCGTTTCTTTATTCTAACCGACGTATATTTAAAAACACATTGAACCATCCAGATAATCCACCATCGCATGCCACAGACTAATATCAAGTCCTCAAGCGGTGTACCTCTTGCCGAAATTATTAGAAGATTATACATATTTTTCCTCAAATCTATGTTAAACCAGGTTTAAGCTGTCCACCATATCGGGGTCCAGGAGCTGTAAACTGATCAGACACGCAGACACTGTGTGTGGCATGCTGGGTACTCTACAGACAACTGTGACTAATCTGGTAATGCTTCGTACTAGTGGACGTGTTATGACCTAACGACCAACAAGAGAGCTAACTGACAAGGTTCAGTGTCACCACGCGGAAAATAATCGATTACTATATTAGGACATTGTAATAATTAATATTGTAATTTAATTTGAACAGATAACGAGTACTTCTTATCCTACTGTATTGTTAAGTCTCTTGCCTGGATTATATAATAATAATTAATAATGCTAAATTGCAGAGTGAGAGATTGTCGCTCAATTGTGTTCACTTAATTTTATAAAGTAGAATTTGCTGACTGTGCAAGTAACAGTCGATTTCCTTTCATGTTTAACAACTACTTTGAACAGCCGAAACAATAATACAGTACATTAGTAATGTACCTACTGATATTACATATGACACAACACAACAGCAGGTAAGAGCCATGTGGTGAGGGTGGAGGCACCGGATACCGATCTGTCAGCCGTCTCCCTGATTGGTCACATCAATCGTGATTGCTGCTGATTGGATAATAGCGTCGGTGAGGAAGCAAGCGATTGACGCAAGTGGTGCAAGTACTTGAACATGAGGCGCAGTCGCCACAACAGCACAAGGCGGTGCTTGCTGCTTTAAGGATAAGTTCAATGTTATGAATAGTTATTAACGATTAAATAAAGTGTGACGTTAGCGAGACCTGATAAACGTTTCAACTTTGTTAAGCATGACGAAGAATTCAAAGAAAATAACATATTTATTTTGATATTTAATGAACCGAAGCTAAGAACTTGGCAGAGAGTTGGTAACTGTTATCATTCAATAGCAGCGGCGATGGTAAATGCAAATGATGCAGTTAACGCCTCGCGCCCAAATACCACACCCTCTCACAACGTTACACGACCGACAATGTTCACTGGGTACGAGGGCTTATGCACTAGTGTAAACTAAAGTCACTGCAATTTGAACTCTGGAGTGAAGTTGTTGCCTGATATTTATCTTCTCTCAATCTTCAAATAATTTCAAAATGAGTAAAAATACTGAACGAAGTACGACGTGGAAACAACGTTGTGTAGATTTCTCATCCTTATGGAACAGCTGAAGACAATTTTATTGTTAGTTCTGTACGGTTTATGTAGAGGTCGTGTTTTGTTTACAATTTGTTTCCCGTTATTACAGCCATTTAAAACCTCGTTTAACCAAGTAATACGATCTAATCATAAACAATAACTTGTCCCCTAGTTATATAACCAAACAGTAAAGCACAAATCAAGAAATTAACCCTAAAATAATAGACACAAAGTTTCGTCGACACTAGCGCCCAGTGTCACCGTACATGAACTAGACACAAAAAACGTGCTTCAAAATTTACAATGGGATGAGAAGTCTATGGTTGTATACAGTAGGGTTAAGTTGTGAGCATCACATAAAATAATACAAAAAATAGCGTCTGGTTCACGAGGCAATGTACACAGCCCCGTAATGTGTACCAACTTATACTTATCCACCAAGTACCAACTTCAATTCAACCAAAATCAATACCACAAAAATAATGCCCTCTTAAGATAGTTATGTATTACAGTAACACCGGTTTCAATATATGAATGAATGGACAATTTGCAATCAAATTATAGAAGATGTTTTGCATATAACATGTTCTGAAAATCTAAGCACATTTCGTTTCAAACTTCTTGAAGTATCGCCTCGTTGACAAAAAGTTTGAATCTTATCTAGACTTGTTTTCTGGTTGGCTTACATTAATGTGTCTCTTGCATGATCATAAAGCTATCTTTTATCACTCATTCATCCCCACTGTTTTGTTTATAGAGCTAGGACAGATAAGTAAGATAAGTAAGGAACTAGTCACTCAACCTAACCTCATGTTACTCGTGTGACATGGCTTCGGAGAATTAATCAAAATACAGTAAATTTATGAACAGGAGTGATAGTAGAGGTTTCGCCCAAGGCAAAAACATTGACTATTGGATACTGACTGCTGTGTTAATAGTAAATGTAAAAAGTGTAGGGCCAAAGAAATCATTCTGAGCCTGATTTTTAAATACAGTACATTCTTGTAAATGGGCATTATCATTTAGTTAACAAGGGGTGACACGTCATCGAAATAGAAAAAAAAATTACATAATTTGTCTAACTATTTATTTAAACAAGTTTTGAACAAGAAAAACGCAACGAAACGTAAAAATAATTTGTCGTCTTTTAGGATAAACAATAAAAAGAAACAAAGTCAGAGGGTTAAAAAACTGAAAACGAAATGTAATTAATTTTACTCCAGTCTCAATTTCACAACACAAAAGAAATAATCTTGGGAAGTGACATAAAAGAACCATTGAGGTTTTCCCAAATGAACAGTTTACTCCAAGATATCCACCAACAAGGATTCTAAATACGTAATTACTCGCTTTCGTTAGATTTTGTTTGTCTGATTAATGGAAATGGATTAAACCGGTTCAACCATAAAATCAGAATCAACAACAAATGCGATGAATTACATCTACCTCCGTCGCATTAGTTAACTTCTTTCGTATGTTTTAAGATTTAAAGCATTGTTGTGAAATGTGAAGTCGTCGTTAAAGCTAACTACGAACTAACTTATAAGAAATAACGTAAATTAATTACATTATAAAGTGATTTGTTTTACATTGTACAC